TGTTCTTCGAGCTTCTATGCGCTGGCAATATCAAGTGTAGAACTAGACTGCCACGTCTTCAGGAGACCAGATTGGGATGGATAGTTGCAGGAGAGGTTTCTCCGTCTCTCAAGGCAGCTCCAGTTTCTGCTTCTCTATTTTCAGTTAGCTCATCTGAAGTGGCCCCTCGCTCGACGCAGCATAGGGTCAGACATAAAGTCCGGAGTAGCGGTACTGAAGACGGTGCTGAAGGCAACAACAGTGCTGCTAAAGAAGGATGTTAAAGACCCGTGCTCTTCAACGGGGGGAGTATGTTCGGCTAAGCGCTGGACCATGGTAGCACAATTAGCAGTTGACCATATGTAACATCTCTTAATGTAACGTCTCTCTTTATTACCGTTTTGTTTGCTTTGCTTATGCTCTATCTGGTGCTTTGCTCTCTGTCGGCGTTCGTCAGCCGCTGTGGGGGAGGCTCGTCAGAGAAAGTAGAAGACACTTCAGATTCGATCACCGCCGTTTAACTACCGTTTTGCTGTCTGGCACAGTCACCTGCCTGCCACAAGATCTAACACAAATATCTCGCTTTCAACAGTCTTGAATCGGCGCCGTGCCTTCAATCGACCCATCGTAAACTCTTGCTAGCAAATCTGCACACCTTTCGCTATTTCTCTACACAAAACATATATATAAACTTAAGTACAATAAATTGTGAAAATATGAACTGAATAAACATTGCCTCTTTAATACCTCGTAAAACAACGCTATTGAAAAAGCTCAGTAGCTCAACAATATTTTAGAGGGAATTGAATTCCGAGCATAGGACCTTAAATGGTTCGTGCAAGAAAATTTTTTGATCTATAAAGCGGAAAGAACAAAGGAGTTAAATTTCTAATAGACCTAATAGGAATCGTGAAGTTTATGCGGCTCAACAAGTCAGGGCTATCTACATCACCCTGATCAGGTTGAGCATAAAAATCACACCAAGCATTTTTCTACAACTAACTAAGGTTGAAAGGTTTATTAAAAGCAATCTACGAGGGTAAGATGGCAGTCTCACATCTGCATCCCAGTTCAGACCACGCAGTGCAAAAAAAAAGTTTTTCTGGACTGATGCTATTCGGTCCTGGTATACTTTGTACTGGGGGCACCATACACAAGAGCCGTACTCTAAAATCGGACGAACAAGCGAGATGTAGAGAGTCTTCGTTATATAGGGGTCGTCAAATTCCTTTGACCACCTCTTTATAAACCCAAGCACACCCATGGCCTTATTTACCATGGTAGAAATGTGTTCAGAAAACTTTAACTTTGGGTCTAATTTAACACCAAGATCATCAACCAAGGTAATTTTTTCAAGAGAACCACCGCAGAGGCTATAAGGAGCCAAAAAGGGGCTGGAGCGATGAAATGTCATTACTTTGCATTTCGAGTCATTTAAGTGTAAAATATTGTCACAACACCATGAATGAGAGTTATTGAGATCGGATTGCAGGCAAGAGTGAAATGAAATGTCCTTATACTCGACACAGAGTTTAACATCATCCGCATATATGAGTACTCGAAAGTTTCTTAATACTGAAGGCAGGTCATTAATAATGAGTGTGAAAAGTAGGGGCCTAGATGGCTGCCCCCACCCCCACCACAACCAACAAAGACACCTCAATCAATCGCTCTGCGCAGCCGGTCCCAGCACCGAATGATCACTCCGTACGAGGACTTAAATCACTGGCCATGGACACCACACCAGCACAAATACCCGATACACCTTAGCATCACTACTTCTATGGGAAGCGGCTGCGGTGTTCGCCTCTAGCGTGATGAGAACGCTCAGGTCCCTGGAGAGAAGACGGAAGGAGCAGACGGAGTAGGTGGCACCGCGCTTGCGAAGCAATGCTTTGCGTCAGTACCGCGTGACGCGTGGCCCTTATTCCCATCAGTCTCCTGTCCGTTACCCCATTTTATTATTGTACATTGTTATTTAGTGTGAGTTACAACATAGCAGAATAAATAATAAATGACTATGTCGGTTTAATATATTTCTGGTCGCGTCTTTTCTTGCTTGCATCGGCCATTTTGATTTAGGCACAATGTCATTGAGTTGATTGAGTTACTAACTCTCAAACGCAACTACTTTCTCGGCATTTCAAACCAGGCTCTAAGTCAATTATTGCTCGCAACGCAATTTCCATTTGTCTCTATCTCCGTCACACTCACACTCACTATTGCAGAGAAACACGCTCGACATGCGCTCCCTTTATCTCTCTTTATCTGAGTTCCTCAGTACACACTCGCTTTTGGCCATATGACATTAGACTTTGCTAACTGACCAGCTGGAAAAATAGAGATAACCTTATGGGAAGTGCCTACAGTCAGAGCGAGAGAAATATATGCGCCAAGCTGGCTTTCCAGTTGAGCTGGGAGCAGCGATTAATCGATTGTTTTAATTTGCGGATACAGTTTTGCTGGCTTGGTGGCTGTATTTTTCTGGAAAAGATAATTTTGTATCAATTAGTGCCTCAGTTGTTCGACTGAAAGCCACTACATAGTCGGGTCTAGTCGGGACTACGAACAATATTGTTGCATTTTGACTGTCATGCTATCATGCTTTTAGGAAAACCAGTGCTAATTTAGAATAGACTGGCGACCAAAAGAACTGCAACACGATTAAGGAGACAAGGCATATGACAAAGAGAGAAGTACAACAAAAAATGTGATAATACACTGAGAACAATCAAAAAGGGGATTCGTAGGCAACCGACAGACAAAAATACACTGGGAATATTATTATAATCCAACAAATACGAAAAAAAAAAAAAATAGTAAAAATCTACTAAAAAACGAGAAGGAACGTGTGAGTCGCTTCTAAAGACGCGACTCTACTTATACCCGTACTCAGTCAGTATTTACATTTTTGAACATATGATTTTTTAGAATTTTAGAATTAAAAAAAAAATTTTTTTTCTACATCTGTTATCTACATCTACATATAAAATGTATATTATAGATCTAATATGTAGATTGTACATGTACCATTTAGATTTTACATCTCCTCCGCTAGGGGTTGCTCGCGTACTGAACGCGGCAGAGTGTGCGAGCGAGATGGAAAATGACATGTGTTGTCGTTGGCAGGAGGGGGCAGGGGAAGAAACTGAAAATTAATTTCGTCATTCTGGCTATTATTATGATCCGATCTGATTCAGATTCGGCAATCTGGTAGATATGGGAATTCTCTACGATACTGCGTTTTTATTATATCATTTTATCATATCTTTAAAAATGTGCCTGCCACAGATTTTCGTCCTTTGTTGTGGCGGAAGGGGGCGGGGCGAAATTTTGAAATACATTTGTAGCAGTGGGATATCACATGAGTCTGGAAATCAAATTTGGTTGCCCTAGCTCTTATAGTCTCTGAGATCTAGGCGCTCATCGAGACAGACAGACAGACAGACGGACAGACAGACATGGCTATATCGACTCGGCTATTGATGCTGATCAAGAATATATATACTTTATGGGGTCGGAAACGTTTCCTTCTCTGCGTTACACACATCCACTTTTACCACAAATCTAATATACCCCTTAACTCTTTTTTGAGTACGGGTATAAAAATCCATGTGGCGCATCGGGGCCCTCGAGCTTAGGGGGCCCCCAGGCTCAGGGACCTCCAAGCTCAGAGGCCCCAGACTATGACCAGCAAAACACCAAAAAATCTCTCACTCCACACTTCTGGTTGAAATGCAAGCACGAATAAATAAGTATTGACAATAAGACAATTGACAATGTTTTACATGTATAATTAGGCGCCGTGTAAAGTATTGTTCATAAAATTCTATATAGAAACGGCTGGAGAAACGTTCCAAACGGTAAAACGTGATTTTCGGAGGGTTAGTCAAGCAATTCCATTGAATTATATAGTAAGATGCAGCTTTGTTCTCATTTAATTTCTCAAATTAATTGGGCAGAAGGCATTCCTTCAATGACTTCATTGAATTGAATTATTTAATTGTACGTTCGAACTCTTGTGCAGTCTGTACCTAACTGCCGAGCTAGCACAAGGGTCAAGCCTATTTAGGTTTACATCTTATCCTATTCTCATTCTCTGCGTATGTATCTGATTATGGTATGCATTGCCCTCTGCACATTGAGCTCATCCCGGGGGAATGGTGGGAATTTTTGAAAGATGTAAAACGCCGATTCCCACTGCCACCATCTACTATCCATGAAAAACAACTGATGCACACAATTTGTAGCGGTGAAAATTGGTTCAAATTTATAATTTAAATGAGTATAAATAACATTGCAATGCTTGTGAATATGAAAACATATTCTTACTTAACATGGGTGATGATAATAAGGCCAACATTGACAAGGAGAATTTATTGGAGTGGATATCTGTCAGCCAAAAGCGAGTGCAATATCCTGCATTAGGTTTTCAGAGCATTCATACAAGAATTCCCAGAGGTTAGTCCACAAACCGAGTTTTTGTGCCTGAGACAATGTTGACACATCAAATGTTTTGTTGTTGTTTTTCCTGTCTGTAATTTTTTTGTTGCTTTATTTATTTATTTATTTCAATTAACAATTATCTGCTAATTATGGAATAGGAATAAAAAACAAACTAATTATATATGTACAAGAGAGAAAGGAAAGATACAATTTACACATTTTCTAAGCTAAGGTAATGATAAATGTTAAATATAATTTTTTCAAGGGATAATTCGTGGGATATTAAATGGTACAAGTAATTATAATTATTGCATAAAACCTGGAAAGGTTCATGCTGGGAGTAATTAGATCTACATATGGATAATCGGATGGGGCGGAAAGTACGGGTTGGTCTGGAGGGAACCGAAAAATCGATTCGTCCCAAAAGCGTTTGGGAGTTCACAATCCCGAGAATGAGCTTATGCATGAATACCACGCCATTGCAAATTCTGCGATGGTGTAAAGAGGGTAGGTTCATTAGTTTTTGCCTAGATAGGTATGGTGGAAGATGTCTGTTAGAGTCCCAGTTTAGATGTCTAAGGGCGAATATCGCTCGTCACAAAATCCCCATTAATGACGGCATTTAGTTTCTGAAATCCACTTTCGATCTTTTCGTAGCCGTTAAGCGATTCATCCCTGGCATTTTGCATGAGCATCTGCAGGCCGCTAACAGACTTGCCGAGGGCACGTCCCATGGAATCCCAGAGATAGCTGCCCATGCCGCTTGGTCCCGGACATTTGAATGTCGGTGCATCAGCCTTGCTGTTTTTGTCTCCTTGCTGAGTAACATCCATTGTCTTATGCCTGAGAAGCTTAGGTCTCTCCACAGGCAAAGAGTGCTGCTCCATTTTGCCTGGTTCTGGTCCTGTTCCTGGTCCTGATCCCTTTTCAAGTTTCTGAGCTTCAAGCTTGGTATTGACGTGGCACTTGGGCGGTTCCTCCAAGGTACTTAGAATGACGATCTGAGGGCAGCTCATGGACTTGCTGATACCGCGTCGCATAGACACCCATGGATACATATCCATGTCGGCTTGGGGCTCCAAGAGAGACTTCTGCAACTTCTGCGGTGCTCGATTCGTCTTCTCGTCGCCCTGCACCGCTCCACCCAACATCAGTTGCATAAGTTGCTGAGGGCCACCCGTTGACTGATTGAATGAGATCTTTCCCATGCCAGATTGCCCCACTGGATGGCAACCAAGCGATGACTTCGTTGCTCCGTTCGCCGATTTGAAAATCTTCTGAATTCCAAGCAAGGTCTCCTGCATGACATTCTGAGAACTGACCATGGGCCTCTCGATGCCGGCTGGGTGCACCAAATCGTCAAATTGAGATGCATCCTTTGTCGTCTTTTTGAATTGTGGCGGACCTCCTCCCATGGTGGTGTCCGGCAGGTACACACCTCTGCTTATGTACTGCCTGAAAGAGGGCAGCTCCGTGTCGGATAGTTCCTCTAGTAACGTTGGCGGCGATAGCTTTGGATCGAAAAATGTAATACTCTCGCCCCTCTTACCCATGGTATCCATGGGGTGCTGATCTCCGCCCATGGACTGATAGAAATCGCGATATTCCACTTTGCACGTGTCCTCGTCTGACAAAGACGAAGATAGAGCCGGTTCGCAGATTTGAATGCCTTCATTCATGTTGTCCTCCAAGAGGCATTCCTCTCCGCCTACAGGCTGGTCAAAAACGTGATATTCCATGTCGCATGGGTCTACATCTAACGAAGACGGGTTGAGGAATGGAATGACCTCCGTGGGCTGCTGATCTCCATCTATAGACTGGCTGATGGAGCGACGCGTCACCTCGCATGGCTCCATTGAAGTGGTGGACATAGGATATGCATCCGATTGGTGGAGATGTTTTCCTGGCTCATCCATAGTCTGTTCCATGTGATGCAGAGATTCGTCCAAAAACTGGTTGAATGCGCGATATTCCATGTGGTATGACACTGCATGGGGCAAAGGCAAAGGTATTAAGAGCTTGAAAACAAGCGGCAACGTCACACAGTCAGCAAACGCGTATGCGTAATTTTCTGATTTATGTAACCAATCGGATATATTTTATACGTGATTATGCGTAACCGCGGGAATTGGTATAGGAGCCGATAACTAGTCATGCTCCAATATCAATTCTTGCACTACTCTTTCTACCTAATGACCAACCCACTTGATTACAATTTTAAAGTATTTCCTCTGTCTCTCTTCTCGCACGAACACCAGCCGTTACATCGCGTTTCCCTTGGCCAGGGGAAACGCTTCCTGCTACAATAACTAATACACATATTCCCCATATTCTTCGAGTGTCGGCTACAAAAATATCCAAACAAAACAAAACAAAAAAAATTGAATACCACAAAAAAAAAAAAAAAAAATTGAACCTTCAGCACTTCCATCCATGGCATCCTCCATGGGCTGCTGATCTCCGCCCATGGACTGATTGAAATCGCGATATTCCACTTTGAACGTGTCCTCGTCTGACAAAGACGAAGATAGAGCCGGTTCGCAGATTTGAATGCCTTCATTCATGTTGTCCTCCAAGAGGCATTCCTCTCCGCCTGCAGGCTGGTCAAAAACGTGATATTCCATGTCGCATGGGTCTACATCTAACGAAGACGGGTTGAGGAATGGAATGACCTCCGTGGGCTGCTGATCTCCATCTATAGACTGGCTGATGGAGCGACGCGTCATCTCGCATGGCTCCATTGAAGTGGTGGATGTGGGATATGCATCCGATTGGTCGGGATGTTTTCCTATCTCATCCATTTTCCGTTGCATGCAATGCAGGAATTCTTCGATAGACTCATTGAGTGAGAGACATTCTCTGCTGGATGATGCTACATGGGACAAAGGCAAAGGTACTAAAAGCTTGAAAAAAATATAATGAAAATATATGTAATGGTGCAAAACGAGCGGCAACGTCACCCGTTACACACACAGCAGCATAGCGTATGCGTAATTTTATGATTTATGTAACCAATCGGATATATCGGAGTATCGGAGCCGATAACTGGTCATGCTCCAATATCAATTCTTGCACTCCTCCTTCCACCTAATGACCAACCCATTTGATTACAATTTTAAAATATTCCCCCTGTCTCTCTTCTCGCACGAACACCAGCCGTTACATCGCGTTTCCCTTGGCCAGGGGAAACGCTTCCTGCTACAATAACTAATACACATATTCCCCATATTCTTCGAGTGTCGGCTACAAAAATATCCAAACAAAACAAAACAAAACAAAATTGAATACCTTCACCACTGCCATCCATGGCATCCTCCATGGGCTGCTGATCTCCGCCCATGGACTGATTGAAATCGCGATTTTCCATGTTGGCTGGGCCCTCATGTGACGAAGGCAAAGATAAACTCGAATCGGGAATTGCAATTCGTTCAGCCATGGCATCCTCCTCAAGCTGATCCCTATATCCGCCCATGGACTGGTCCATAAAGTGACATCTCATGCCGGATGGCTCCAGTCGACTCGAAGTCGGTGGCAGAGAAGTCCCCTGTTCCAAGTGATGCTGAGCTCTGTCCATGAAATGCTTCAAAGTTCGACTGTCCATGTTGGAAGAGCCTTTGTGTGGCGAACGCGAGGAAAGACTCGCATCGAAATACGTAATATTTTCATCCGTGGTATTCTCCATGGGGTGCTGATCTCTGCCCATCGACTGATGGATATCCCGATATTCCACTTTGAACGTGTCCTCGTCTGACAAAGACGAAGATAGAGCCGGTTCCAAGATTTGATTGCCTTCATTCCTGTTGTACTCCAAGAGGCATTCCTCTCCGCCTGCAGGCTGGTCAAAAACGTGATATTCCATGTCGCATGGGTCTACATCTAACGAAGACGGGTTGAGGAATGGAATGATCTCCGTGGGCTGCTGATCTCCATCTATAGACTGGCTGATGGAGCGACGCGTCATCTCGCATGGCTCCATTGAAGTGGTGGATGTGGGATATGCATCCGATTGGTCGGGATGTTTTCCTATCTCATCCATTTTCCGTTGCATGCAATGCAGGAATTCTTCGATAGACTCATTGAGTGAGAGACATTCTCTGCTGGATGATGCTACATGGGACAAAGGCAAAGGTACTAAAAGCTTGAAAAAAATATAATGAAAATATATGTAAATGTGTGTGCAAAACGAGCGGCAACGTCACCCGTTACACACACAGCCAGCATAAGCGTATGCGTAATTTTATGATTTATGTAACCAATCGGATATATCGGAGTATCGGAGCCGATAACTAGTCATGCTCCAATATCAATTCTTGCACTCCTCCTTCCACCCAATGACCAACCCATTTGATTACAATTTTAAAGTATTCCCCCTGTCTCTCTTCTCGCACGAACACCAGCCGTTACATCGCGTTTCCCTTGGCCAGGGGAAACGCTTCCTGCTTCAATAACTAATACACATATTCCCCATATTCTTCGAGTGTCGGCTACAAAAATATCCAAACAAAACAAAACAAAACGAAATTGAATACCTTCACCACTACCATCCATGGCATCCTCCATGGGCTGCTGATCTCCGCCCATGGACTGATTAAAATCGCGATTTTCCATGTTGGCTGGGCCCTCATGTGACGAAGGCAAAGATAAACTGGAATCGGGAACTGTAATTCGTTCAGCCATGGCATCCTCCTTGAGCTGATCCCTATATCCGCCCATGGACTGAGGTCTGTCCATGTAATAGTTCAAAGTTCGACTTTCCATGTTGCATGAGCTGTCATTTGACGAGGGCGATGCTAGCCTTGGATCGAAGTATTGAATGCCTTTACTCAAGGTATCTTCCAGGGGGCGCTGACTTCCACCCAAGGACTGGTTGCAGGAGTCACGCGTCATGTCGTATGGCTCCAAAGAAGTCGTGGATGCATAGATATATTCGAATGGTGCATCCATTGTCTGCTCCATGTGCTGCTGAGCTTCACCCATAGACTCACTTTCCATGTCGAATGGCTGCAGTGAAGTCGTGTGCGGGCGAGGATTTGTCAGTTCCTCAAGTCGCTCATCGTGTGGACTGGGACTGCATCGTGTGGCCCGTGTCGCGCATGGCCCCAGCGTGTTGACAGTTCGTCGTGCGCTGCACCGTTTCCTGGGCGATGTCCCGGAACTCCATCCACTCGAGCGTAGCCGGAGGCATCTGCTCGAATATGCCGCACAGTCGCCGCTGGCTGATGCACGCGCTCAGTTGGCTCATGTAGCTATTGCGGATCTCTCCGTCGAGCAACGTGAGGCACGGCATGGCGACCAGTTTGTTTAGCCACAGCATGGCCAGGCGGTACTCCTGCGAGCCAGTATCGAAGCCCTCTTCCGGTTGCGGCGAGTCCTCCAGTATATTAAAGAAATCTTTGAACAGCGTATTCAACTTTATGTTAGTCTCATCTTCGGTGCAGGAGCGAGTGCGATGCCTATGCTTCTTGGGACGCTTCTTCATATTTGTAAAGTATAAAATATATTCTATTCGACACGCAAAAAAAATAGAAAGCAAGTCCCAGCCAGGCTCCTGCTCAAGTCAGCTCTAATATGGATTGAAAAGTAAAGACCAGACGACTTTGGTTTGAAAAAAAATGTAAACTATCCCTTGGGTTTGAACAAGGCAGAAATAATTCTATAATTTAACTTATGTGCCTGGCTCCAGCAGTCAATGTTTTTCGTTGTGCCACTTGACTGAGGGTGGCTCCATTTAGGGTTTAGGGTGTGGGGCTGTGGACTGTGGGCTGTGGGCTGGGGCTGGCATTTGCATTTTGGACTCTGGCCAGCCGCAAAATTGCTCACCAATAGTTGTTAAGGACGTGTCCTGTCGACTCTTCGCGGCTTGTTGGCCAATTTGCAACTTGATTAACGAAAGTGCATGAGGTTGGGCAAGGGATTGCGCTTGCAGCTGCAACAGCTGCTGTTGATGGTGGCAGGGGCAGTGGGGGCATGTTGATGGCCATGACGAGAGTTCGACCCACTGGCGCCATCGAGTGTGTACGAGTATTCGTGTTGAATGCCACTCTGTTCGAGTGTCGCCCGAGTATTTTCAAGTCCGCAGCATAAAATGGCAAAGTCAACATCGAAACGAAACGAAACGAAATGAAACGCACCAAAATGGCAGCACTTTAAAGGCAATAAACCCTAATTGCTGAGCCAAGAGAAAAGAAGGGAAAATATTTCAATAATCCTGTGAGCTTTGTGTGCAAACGCCATGACTCGCGACCGACCCACCCAGCAGCAGCAGCAGCAGCCACAGCAGCAGCCGGGGCCAGGGCATATTGGGACACTGTGACACGTCTGAGCCACTGCTGCCAGGGGTCCGTACGTTCTACTGTTGCAGGGTATACTGTTCGTTGGGGCCACTCATCGTGTGCGACTTAATGCAAAGAATTGAAATTTTCATCACGTATACGTAACGCTGGCAGCAATGGCAGCGCCACAGCCACTTGTCAACATGAATTTCCAATTTTCTCCACTCCGCTCTCTCTACCCCTCAAGTGTGTATGTGTGTGTGTGGGTGTGTGTGTTTGTACCCTACCCCTAATTGCATAATACACCGATTTGATATTTCTGTCAAACTCAATTCACCAGAGAGAGAGAAGAGAACTTGCACTTGTGGCTGGTTTTTGTTTGTTCCACTCTACATTTACTCTGTATAAGTATATTTATGGTTTTTCTAGGGGCTTCCACTTGCAGGTAAATGCTATAGAAATCAACTCTGTGCTGGCATATTCTTATTGTCACTCTTTGGAGCGTGAAATATTTATTTATAATTATTTTTTATATATTAAATTTCTTTGTCTTGTTCCTCTGACAATGTTGAACTGTTACAGAGTATTCCAAGTAAACATTTACTCGTACAGACGTGTAGAATATTAAGTAGTCAAGATGACAGTGCTGTGCGCGTAAATCAACTAATGGAATCAATCTATCAAACTTTATGCGAGTGTTCGAGTGCCTGAAGTGCCACAACAAAAGGAAACACACACAAAACTAAAACTAAAACTTAAACCATAAGCAAAACATAAAGTTCGAGTGTTTCTTTGTTGCTGGCAAATGTGAATGTGGGCTTGGGTATTTTAATTTCAAAATTTTCACAATCAGCTTCATCTGCACATTCAATTAAATTCCATTAAATTGCTTTCAGCGCTTTTTACTCGTTCTATCCATTTGAATATACAAAGATCTTGGAACTGATTACACTACTTTGCACTGCATTCATTTTCGATACTTCAAAACTTTGCCCTGCATTCACCCACCTCCTACGCAACACCACACCACACCACACAAAAGCCAAAACTCTTTTCTCTATGCGCGCCCTGGGTAAACGTTCTGTGATCAATTATAATTTACATCCAGCGACCCAAAACCCACGACCCACCACCCACGACACAACAACAGACCTGCCCGCCCGCCAGCTCTTAATTGTCACCCCTCCGTGGATGCCACAAGCTATTCCCATGTTGCTGACACGTCAAACATGGGGGGCGCCATCCATGCCGTAGTTTTCACCAAAATTTCTGGTCTTCATTTTTGATTAAACGCAAACAGGATGGCCCCGCAAAAAATTAGTTGGCTTTTATGCAAATGCATGACGAAACTGGGAGGCCAACAGAATCTGGCCATTTGGCTGGCCGGCCGGCCGCCCAGGAGGCTGCCTTATAGCTGCCATCTCGCTTGGCAGGTAACCCCTTGTCGGTCGGTCGCTCGCTCGAACAGACGGCACGCGACCCGTCCAAAAAAAAAAGTGGAAAATGGGAAAAAAAGCAGCGAGTCCCACGAACTTTTCGGGGGGAAATTCCTTTTTCCTGCCTTCTTTATTATCTTATCCGCTTTCTGTTATTTGATATTTGCGCTTTAATGAATTTTAATGCCCATCTTTTTGCTTTCTTTCATTTTGTACTTTCTGTTTTTTACTAAATTATTAATAAGGAAATTTTGTGCTTACGCTTCAGGTTTCTGGGGTTCTTGTGGGGCGGCGGACAGAGATTTTAATCGTTTTAAAATTTGTTTTCTTTGACTTCAAGGACTGAGTGCCAGCCAGAGGGCGGAGGAGGGCCAGAGGGCGGCCTCCACCTCCAGCTGCACAGGCAGGCAAACAACAGAATTATAGTGAAAACCCACACGCACACACACACGCACACAGACACACCAAAAAAGCCACCCGTTCACCATTCATGCGGCCACGTAGCGAAATATTACGCATACGCCTCGTGTCTCAGCACGTGAGAGGGCGTAGGTAGGCTCCATCCCCCCTTGGACCCCATCGCTCGCTGTAAATTGTAATGGCCAAAGCTTTTTTGTTGACTGCAGCTTGGTGTTACTTCTTACAGTGAGTGTGGGGCGTATCCACAAGCATCGACGAGAGTGAATTTGATATTCGATTTGGAAAACGAAAACGTAAGCGGAAGCGGAAACATCAGCGTCACCATCAACGCCAGCGGAAGTGCAAGTGCAAGTGAAAGTCAAAGTGAAAGTGAAGTGAAAGTAAAAGTGGCAGGCAAATGCAGCAGAGCTCAGCACGCGGCGATCATCGAACAGCAGTGTCCACACAATCATTACACTCGAACACTCAGCCAAACACACGCAACACGAGCTCCATGGGCCGGCAGGGGACACATAACCAATAACACCCAACCAACCCACCCACCCACACATACAAAACTGTCACGTTGCAGTCATCGGTTATGGCAGGCGGACTTCCATTCGTTTCGTGATTCTGTACGTTCGGAGACTCAACATTCTACGAGTATGAACTGAAAGCAGAAAAATCAATTGGTGCCAGAACCACGTGGATTATTTGATTTTGGGACCAAGTACCCTTGCCATTTAAATGGAAGCGCGTTCAGTTTTTACACGCGCCTTTTGTTTGTTTCCCTGGAAATATGTTCAGCCGAAAGAAAGCTTAAGTCCAGTGGTGCAAAATTTCCAGGCCTCAAACAGTATTCCGCCATTTCATAATGATTTAATTTCCTATACAGATTTTGATGGTTCGGTTAAATGTCGGTTAACTTTACCCCTCGCATCGATATCGATGTGTGAACATAAGCATTCACAGCCACATCCACATCACTCGATGCCACAATATTTTCCATATATGTACATACACCGATAGTACAAAATTAGGCAATTAGATCGCTTTTAATTTTAGTAAAATGTTTTAATTTGTAATTTAATTTTGTATATTTAATTTTGAATTCAATTTGTTATATTTAATTTTGAATTAAATTATATTTATTTTTAATTTTTTGTAATTTTTAGTTACATTTTTTATATTTAATTTTAATTTTTAATTAAATTTTTTATATTTATGTTTTAATATTCAATCTAATTTTTTATACATAATTTTAATTTTTAATACAATTTTAATTTAATATTTAATGATTAATTTTTACGTTTTCCGCTGACTGTCTTTTGTCGCTGTGCGCATCTGTGCTGGTACTTATATCCTGTCTACTCCTATCATTCGGTTTTTAATGGATTTCCCTTAGCAAGAGCATTTGAAGTTCGTTGTGTTTTAATTGGAATCTCCCACCCCCTGCCCACTTTTGCTCGCTTGATTTGTTTTCCCTGTCTATGCCATTTGTCGTTTGATTTCTTTGCATCTGAGCGGGAATTGGTTTGCTTTTACTTAAACTTTTGTTCTTGCCCTTTCTCCGATTGTACTCGTGTTTATTTTCTCCCACTCCTTAGCTCTCGCTCTCTCTCTCTCACTCTCACTCTCACTCTCTGTCTCTCTCTTTCTCCCGCTTTCTGTCTCCCCTTACTTTTCGATATCTATTGTTATTCGGATTGGCTTTTCCTTTTGTGGCCTCCGTCCAGCATTGATAACAGAAATGAAGGGAATTTTCCTGCAAATGGCAGCCAACCGGCAGGGCTGCTCCCCCCACTGGCTGCAGATGAAATCATAGTACTGTAAAGTGAAAAAAAGTAAAAAGCAATTTCCACTTACCAGTCAGCCCCCCCCTGCCACACAACCGATGATTCCCCATTCCCAATTCGCCTGGCAACAATTAATAAGCAATCGATGGAGAATGCAAATAAACCAATAGACGAACGCAACAAATCGAAAGAAACTGACGGTGGATGGGGGGATGGGGGCCCTATCTGGGTATAAACTTACAAGTGGCCCGCGGGCGCCCTCTTGACTTGCTTGACCCTTGGCCCCGAGCTCGCCCGGCTCCATCATTGTCTCCCATTCCATGCTGACTTGCCGGCCTTATTGTCGCCATTGACATCATTAATGACACCCAAAGTATCCTCCATTTAGGCTGGGCAAAGCAAACAGCAGCGCACCCAACACCCAAAAGGGAAATGCGTTAAAATCTGAGCCATGCGCCCAGCACCCACCGCACCCCCCGCACCAACAGCAAGCAGCGAGTGGACAGGGCAGCACGAAAAACGATGCGCAACAAATTCAAATGGCAAGATAACAAAAAAAATGTCAAGTATCTGCTGCTTGACACGGGGCAGCGCAGGGCAGCGCAGGGCAGCGCAGGGCAGCGCAGGGCAGGGCAGGGCTGGCTGTCAGGCAGATGGGTGGCCAGATAAACTCGTACAGCCATCCCAGCTGTGCTCTCCAGAGTCCACTCAAAGTCCACAAATAGCTGGGGACTCGTTCATTAGTCGATTGGCCATAGATGGCAGATAGTAGATGGATGTTGGCTGGTGTGCTCCGCCAGCGCCTACAATTAGGAAATACTTTTTAGAATTATAGTAATGATGTTTATTGTTGCTGGTCAGTCATGTACATATATGGGGGATGGCAGTCACCTGCTGTACTCTGTGATTCCCCCATTCAATCAAATTGAAAACTTTTCGATACAGTGAAGTATTTTTTAAATGCGGAATTTCTGTTTAAAGTGCAGAATATTCATATTTAAATATTGTTTCTTCTTCTATAATGCAATTACATACGTACATATGTTTGTATGTATGTATCTATGTGTGCTTGTCTGCCACTCAGTTGATCTGCCACGACCTCGCGTCCATTATGCTGGGAGTCATTTGCCAAATGTCGGGCCATTGTGCCCGGCACTTTATGCTAATGCAATGTTGCGTGATCCTTGAAGGATTTGTCATCGCCGCAAGGGAGCCGTAGGGGCAGTTGCCTGCCTGCCACACTAATGGATTTCCATGGCGCATCAAAAACATAAAAAGCAAACCAGATGAGTTGGTAGAAAATCTGAAGCAGGCCATGCCCCCACAGTAGGGCTGTGCTTGGGCATGCCATGGCCGGCCCCTGTGGTTCTTGATGGTTTATGGCGGCTGGCGGCTGGCGGCTTGGTGCCATTTAAATGTAGCAACAAATCCCGCACCGTCATGTGCCTCAAAGTGCATTGTTGTCCACGGCAGAGGCAGAGTCGACAGGGGGGGGTGGGCTGTTGGTGTCGTTGTCGGTGGCAAACTGTCAAACCAGTGCCATGGCCAACAACCAGAACCCGAACCAGAACCAGAACCAAAGACAGTTACAGCAGCAGGCAGGCAGGCAGCAGGCAGGCAGGCAGCCATTGCCATGTCCTGGCTCTGGTGCGTTGTGTAAGCGGAAATCCTTGTGGCCGGCTGAATGCGTTAACAAATGAATGGACCGCCAAAGCGAATGGTTGGCTGGTGGGTGTGTGGCCGATGGCACTGGATGAACGGATGAACGGATGAGTGGATGGAGTGGCACTGGCAGTGGCAGTGGGCCCCCGATTAGCCTTCTGCATTGCATAATAAACAACGTTAAATGGATTAAGACAAAATCCCACAAAAAATACACACTGTCCTTAAGCCAAAAAAATATAAAAAAAATAAAAAGGATTGGCATTTTCATTTCGCATTTCCAAGGGCGAAATTTGATTGATTTGATTGGCAATCGGTGGATTGATTTGCTGCCACATTCACACACAAATAATGCCAACAAATATTGCCCATTAAATATTTGCGCTCCTCTCTCTCTCTCGCAATCTCTCTCTCTCTCGGCTGCCACAATTGTGCGGCTGCTGTTGGCTCGCCCCAAAAAAAAAAAAAGAAATAAACGCCCATCGCAACATTTCGATTCGCATTCGCTTTCGCTGGCGTGCATTGGAAATGTTTGCATATCCATGGAATGCCACACACACACTCACACACATGGGACAATTATACGAAAGTGCTATGGTTAGGGGAGGGGCTGAGGGCGGGGCTGTACTGCCTTTAAATCCCTCGATATCCGCCTCTAATAAATGTTGTAAAATTCGCAGCATTCCATTTACATATTTACTTGTATATTTCCCCCCCAAAAACCAACCTCTCCCTCACCTCACTCCACACTGCCCATGGAGGTGACACTGGGCTGGGCTGCCAGCTGGGTGGAGCACTTTCTGGTGCCCCGTACCACCGGATTCACCAGATAAACGCGCAAATGATGCATTACCTGCTGGGCGGTGGGTATGCACTGGCCCAGCGCTGGACTGTGCAGGCATTGCACCAGATGCTCCGGCTGCAGGCAGGTGATGGACATCCGCTTGCTGGTCCAGTTCTGCAGATTTATCACCAGATCGTGGTGCGTCAGCCGGGCCAGCAGCACGTACTGGCGGTCCAGCTCGTCCACATAGTGCAGCCGATAATTGGGTGCGTCGCGGTTCCAGTGCTCGGGCAGCAGCTCGCTGCCGCCACTTTTACCGAAATCCGCCAGCATCAGTCTGCTGCCGGCGCTCATCCGGATGGCCTGCTCCCGCTCGGGATCCACGCTCCGCAAATGGTACTGCTTGGTGACCAGAAAGTGGGCCAGTGCCAGCAGCAGGTCGGCCTTCTTGCGTATGCTACGCCGGATCGAGTAGAAGAGCAGCTGCCAGCCGTAGAACTGATCCTCCTCAGATTCGGACACCCTTTGGGCCTCGTTCGCCGCACTGCGAATCGTTCTCACCGACACGAACGATGATGGCTGCTCCATGCGGGCCATCATCATCAGGCTATTTGTCTGCTGCATTGATCAGCTGCTGTCCTGTGTGTGTGTGTGTGTGTGGGTTTGTGTCTCTGCATGGGTGCGTGTGTGCTTAGGGGGGGAACAATTTTGGGTTAATGTTTTGTACTGTCAGAACACCTACTAGATGTTCGTTTGGCACTCCAAAAAAGGTGTCTCCATTGGGAGCCAATGGAGCCAAGCCCAATTTATGTTCCCAAGTTCTCCGCTGCTCACCAGCTACGTCCAACTTCCGGCAAAGGCAAGTCAATCTGTCAGTTTCCTCATTTTGTTATCCACTCTTCCTCCATACATTAAAGGCAATCCAGCCAGAGCTGCTCTAGCGCTCTCCTCTATTCGTTTTTCGCTGCTTTCTGCTTGCATTTCTTTTTTGTTCTTTCCCCAGTAATAGCGGCAGGATTCACTATAAATTAACCATTTCAACGGGTAGCGGGTTATGTTTCAGCCATTTGATTGCCCTGCCCATGCTACAGTCAACCTGAGCCTGGCGCTGTCCTTGTCCTGCGCCTCCTGCGCCTCTGCCTGCCCTTTGGTTGCCTTGGCAAGGCGCCATTATAACTATGAAGATGAAATACTCGTAGTTTGCCGGCGCGGCCAACAAACGATGCCCATCAATTTGCCGGTTTGTGTTGCATGCTGCAGCAGCAGCAGCAGCTGCAACGAGAGAAGAAGCTACCCCCAACGTGAGTGAGCTGCCTAGGCGGGCGAATGAAAAATGTAGCGAACCTTGGGTTATTTATTGTAGCCCGTACATGTGGGTGGCAGGAGGCTGGATGGAGGCAGCAAAGGAAATGTGATTCTGGGCCCCGAATTGGATAAGGGAAGGCGAAAAAGGCGAATGCGTAAATCCAAATGACCCAAAAGCGGGGCCTGGGATGCGGATGCGGAGAGGATGCGAGGCTGCGAGAACGCGGCCTAACTGGCCTTAAAAAATCAAATATATTGCACATCCGGAGGCGCTACGCACGCACCGCACAGATTCTGACCGAGTCCACCGCACAGGCGTGGTGTAGAGCCACACGAAGGTTTCACGACTTGTCTATGCCCTTTCTGGAGTCCGGGATTGCGTCCTTGGCCCCCTTGAGGGGAGTAACTTTCCTGCCCTGCCATCCTACAGTTCAATCGAATATTATTCCATCCTATGAGAGCGCATTTGAAGTGGTTCGCGGCCGCTTTCTAATTGTAGTTGATCTAAAAGTTAACATTTAAGAACAAAGTTCAGCCTGCGGCTCCCTGTGGCTGCCCTGTCCCACTTTTGTGTGTGTGTGTGTGCGGGCGGGCAGGGTATGAATGAAAGCCTGGGCACGACCACAGCGCGAGCAGGCAATTTCATAGCCTACTTAGCGGCGCGCACGCTGCGAGTTATTCAAATTTGAATTGGCCACAACAGAGGCCAAAATCAGGCAGGCAGCAGCAGCCCTGAGCAGGCAGCATTTTATGGGCAGTGTGTCAGTGTCTGGCTGGGAGACGAGACCCGAATAACATGCAGCAGCAGAAGCAGCAGCAGCAGCTGGCGGGTAAAACTTGCGGCATAAAATGTGGCACATGTGATGGGAACGGAAACGGCAATGGCGAAACGGTGAGCGCTCCTTAATTAGATCATAGTTGCGTATTTTGGCCCGAAAGAGGGAAAAACATTTTACGTCCAGACACACAGCATGCCGAAGCTGTAGCTGTAGCTGTAGCTCTAGCTGTGGGCGCCCTGCCCCACAACATCATCGTCATGCCCATCATTTTGTGGAGCCAAGTCGTGGCTGAGCTGTGGCACATTATTGACTGACGCACCGCACCCCGCAACGCATTGAATTTCCAACTCAATCAGCGTTGCGGAAGGGAGCAAAGTTTTTCCGCCTCTTTTTCGCAACAACATCCCCCCTCGCCCCCCTGCCTAACAGACGACCAGCGTTCACGGTATTTGCATTTTAATTGAATTGAAATAAATTTTTTTGTTTAGAGCCAAAGGAATTGGCGCTCTGCTCTGCTCTGCTGTGCTCCGCTATGCTCCGACCATGTAAAAGCCACAAAAGTAAAAGCCAGCTAAAAAGTTGAGCGAAACTTTCGCAACAGCAGAGTGCGCGCACGGGGGGAAAAGTCTTCCAATGAAAGGCAAGGAAAGGGCTTATTGAATGCAACTTAATCAGGGGCGGGAATCACCGCAAGGCACGCCATCAACCCATCAACTATATTCAAGAGCTTTCGGTTAATCATCTTTTCATCACCTTTCCATTCGATTGCATTGTCCCATTGCAGATGAGTTCTGCGAGGAGTATCCACACAATCTGATGCCCACGCCCGGCTACTGGATCGAGTGCTCGCGCCAGAAGATCTCCATGCCCACGCCGCACACCATTTGGGATGAGAGCGACTCCGAGCACGAGGACATCAGGGCGGGCAGTGCCAGCGATGCGTACTTGGAGCGTGAATGCAGCGATCTATACGAGGACGATGAGGACTCTGAAGCTACACCCAGGTTAGTGCGGGGGGGGCCACTCTGCTTCTTTGGGCCCTTTCCCTAATTCTCTGCCCTACCGTCATAGTCCTCGCAAGAAAACAACCATTGAGGAGCAGTGGGACCAGCTGGGCGCCTTCGAGCTCATCTCCGTGGAGCAGGAGACATACGAAAAGTATTTCTACGGCACTGAGCACTGGAACTACTTCACCAGCGACGAGGATCTCGGCCCCGTAATACTCTCCATCAAACAGGAGACGCTCAATGGACGCGACCAGTTCCGCATTCTGGTGCGCGCTGGCTCCTACACGGTGCACGGATTGATTCCAGCCTCCTGCGTATTTGCCGATCGGTATGTTACGCGTACAAATAGCTATATCTTAAAGCCCATTACTTCACCGTGCACTTTTACAGATATAATCGCGAGGAGGTTGTTAGATCGCTGGGTAAAGAAGTTAACTTGAATCCGCCACTGACATTGGGACAACTACCAGACACTCCCGAGGAGTTATTGAAGCTGGATCAGGTATTTCAGCGCATAACCCACTGCATAATATACACACTCAAAATATCTGCTCTGGCTGTTTAGGTTTTCATCAAATCTGAACTGAAAGTTGGCGTCATATTTGTCAAGGAGGATCAATATACCGAAGAGCAAATTCTGGACAATAATGAGAACTCACCGCTCTTCGATGAGTTCCTCACACTGCTCGGCGATCGGGTGCGTCTACGTGGCTTCGATAAATACAAGGGTGGCCTCGATACGGTCCACGACCTAACCGGTAAGTGACTCGCACTCAAAATATATTCGATTAGAAAGTGGCTCGGCTCTGTGTCTTCCCTGGCGCCTACAGCAACCGCAACAGAGCATGCATTGGGTATATATATTTACTCACATCACTCTGTGGTGGGTAGTTGTGGGTGTCGCAAATCAACCCAGCCGCCTCCGCGTTTCGTGCAAGTGTTCAAGTGATTTGTTGCAACTTGCAATTGAATGTGGATCGATGAAACATGGCTTGAAATTGCATGGGCAATATGGTACATGTATTCGAAGTCATATTTTGACGATACTCATTCACACAGATACCCAGAAAGGTGCAACATACTACATAGTCTCTGAACTCCATTGTCTGAACTTATTCTTAATACATTTATCTCACGCTCTCTCTCTCACCTGCTGCTGCTGCCCGTGTCTGTGCTCCTTTAGGCCTGTTCTCCGTTTATACGAACTGGCGTAATATTGAGATCATGTTTCACGTTTCCACGCTGCTGCCGTACGAGAAGCACGATCCACAGAAGCTGCAACGGAAGCGTCACATCGGCAACGATATTGTCTGCGTGGTATTCCTCGAGGCGGACAATACACGCTTCAGTCCGGCCTGCATTAAGAGTCACTTTCTGCACACATTTATCTTGGTAAGCGGGCAAACATATTCCATACTCTCCATCCATATCCTCCACAATCCAATCCGTGTATCCGTAGGTGCGTGTCTCGGCCCGCATCAAGCACAAGCCGACGCGCTATGAGGTGTCCGTGGTGACGCGCGACGAGGTTGGCGCCTACAAGCCGTATCTCTGGGAGCAGTCCGTCTTCGAGAAGGGACCCATGTTCCGGTGAGTGTCCCAGCCGCGCTTGGACTTCCCAACTGTCCAAAGCTAATCCATTCATACCGCTTCATGTGCACATTCTCCGCTACTTCGTTACTGCACAGGGAGTGGCTGCTGACGAAGATCGTGAACGGTGAGCGGGCCTCATACTCGGCCCCCAAGTTTGCAAGGATGCAGGAGCGCACACGGTCGCAGATGCTCGAGGATCTGGTGATGAATCTCTCCAATCATGCGGAGACTGGTCAGATACCCAAGCCGTATCGACGCGGCTCCTGGCGACCGATTGGTGAGGATGAATATTTCAAAATGTTGCATGCTCGCGTATTAGACAACAATACACACAATGAACAACAACAACAACTGCAACAATTTCAACAACAATCGTACAACAATTGTTGCTATTGCAAGGCCGAGGAATCGGGCGCCACAAAGGGCTGGGGGCAGACAATGGCACACACTGCCATTATACACAGACAACACACAACAACAACAAAAACAACAACAACAACAATCAACAACCACAACAACAACACCAACAGCTACACCAACAGCTACACCAAAAACTGCAACAACAACTATACCAACTACAGCATCTGCAACACTCAACGTCGTCACTCACACACACATCGTGTTGCGCCATGTTGCACCTCTGTGTGAGGCATAGTATGTGTTTCGCACCCAACCACCGCCCTCTTGTATCATCACCCCCAACCCCTGTCTTCAACCCTTCCAGCATGTCTTCAAGCTTGCCTTTGATGAATGAATTCTCAATATTTAAATCTGCTCGCTCTCGCGCACTTCCGTTTCCGTTTCCCTTCCCACTCAGCCCGTCTGCCATTGGCCCAAGTCGGCGAAAAGACAGTAGAGGGATAAGACCCATTGGGTTCTTCCGCCTCATTGGAGAGAGAAAGACACTTGAGAGATATTTCTTGAAGGATCCACAATTGATCATTGTGGGGGTTTCTGTTGCTTAAGTGAACCTGTGATCTGTTTTTAGCCATTAAAGGACTCCAGCCCTGCATTTTGTTTGAAGTTTAACTGCTTATTTTTACTAAAATTTTAAACAGACTCCATTGTCTGCTTTTCCCCTTTTTAAAGGCACAGTTTAAATTTTTTGGGGCAGACTTTAAGGAGATTTATGTACAAATCGCAAGAAAAAATTGCACAGCATTACTGAGAACCGCCCAAAAAAAAAAGGGGACAGAAGACAGGGAGGACACCCCACCGAAAGGCATTTGCGTCTGGTTCAGTCCGTGGTGACACAGTTTTCCTGTGCGAATGTGCGAGTATGTTTGATTAATCGTTTTGTCTTGCTTTCGGTTCCATCATTCCACCACCCACCCATACAGACACACACACATACACACACATACACACAACAACACACACACGCACACAAATTCAAGCGAGGGACACACTGACACTTCCGCTTCCGCCATTAACACATCCGGGTGTGTTTGTATTCGACGGAAGCGTGCAGGCTGCGCTCGAAGCGTTTCGGCCTCATGTCTGACAATACTCACTGGCTCCCAGAGTCCCATCTGTACAGGACTCTCCTCTTCCGCTCCCACGCCCGCTCCCCTAGCTCCTCGTGGCATAGACAATCTGCTTGTCCCTTATCCCTCCCAACCAACTCCACCGCATACCCATACCCATTGTACCTGGTACTTTTGGAGTTCGTTGGGTATTCTTGCATTCGGGGAAATGTTTGTCACAGGCACACACAACCCAAAAAGTAGATATACTTTTATTTTTTAATTCTAAAATTACAAAGCCACGCCCATATAGTAACTCTGTTTGGATGCACTACACATACAATACTATCAATCCACATAAATTCTTTGCAATTCTCCCTAAATTTGCTTTATGTCAGAAAGGAAATGCTGTGGCATAAATATACAAACATATTAAATCATTACAAACGGATAAACATTAACACTTAGAGTTAGTTTTACTATAGTTAGCCCCGATTAGCGGGTAGCCCCTAGTCCATAGCCTCTAGTGATTTTGCTTGTTTTATTCCTATGTCGTGTGCTGTCCGGCTGTCCGGCTAAGAAATATTGTTCATGTTTGTATTATTTTATCAGCCCGGGAAAATCTTTTGTTTTCACACATTTCCCCTCCAGACGGTTGTTCGTTGTTCGTTGTTCGATGTTCGTTGTTGTTGTTGTTGTTGTTGCTGTTGTTCGTTGTTCGTTGTTGTTGCTGTTGTCATTGTCGCTGTTGTTGGTTTTCCTTTTTCTTCTTTTTTCGCTTTGTTTGTCGTTGTTGTTGTTGTGATTTGTTTAGATTTCTCGTTATTTATTTGTTGCTATTTGTTGCATTAGACAACACAAATCTAATTTGATTTATTCATTCCCACACTTATGCACACTTCCTGCCTCCCACACACACCCAACCCACACCCCAACCCCGCACCCCGCACCCGCACCAATGCTTGCTTTTCACCCGCCCAGACAAATCCTCCACCCACACGGCCACCCAAACAAGACAATCGTGCGCGCACAATTTCACACAGCACTCCCACCCCAGCACCCCAACATCCCACCATCCAACCAGCCCACCAGCCCACCAGGGAGGCCCCCACCAGTAAGGTGTCTGGGAAATGGAAGTGATCCCCGCTGTAATCGGCACAGGACACATCCACATCCCAGCATCCCAACTATGCATATTAAAATTATGCAAATTATTGATTCTATAGCATCTGGAAGGAGCTCCGGCACACACAAGTTCCGCTGTCTGCGTACCCCACTGAGCGAAAAAACCTCAAAAACCATTAAACGGTTTTTTTTTTCTATTTTTTTTTTTATTGCAATCTTTAACGTTAGGTAGACAGATTGCTAGATAAGGGTGTGAGATTCAAATGAATTGATATGGGAATTTTCAGAGCCAAAAAATGCACATGATTTGAATCGCAGAGATAGAATTTCAGCTTTGGAAACTTCTCTTTGTATCGTATCGTAATAATATCATATCTGGAATGAAGGTTAAAGCAACAAGGAGTCAGAAAATACATACATATTCCATTGATCATGCATCATGCTCATGCTGCATAGCTCATGCTTGGAATGTACAGTCAACATCTCGCCATCATCGCACATTGAAACCACAAATTAACCATGGTAATTAATAAAGATTTTCCTTTGGATGTGTGTCCAAAAACAACACTAAAAAAATAAAGCTTATTATGTATCAAAAAAAGTGGTAATGCAACTACTGAAAGCTGCAAGTTTAAGGCTTTGCCAACATGAAAGAAACTTCTCTTTTTACAGCGAAATTGCGCTTGTTTTTGAAGAAATGTCTTCGAGTATTGAAGTTTTGGAAATTTTTCCGTAGACGAAGGGGTAACTAAAGAAGCAAAAAAGCCTCGAAAAAAAAGTCAAAAATCGAATAGAGATAAAACAATGAATGGAATACTTGATGGGCGTTCGTTCGTTGGCCCAATGAAAACTGTACTGGTAATCTGTTCAATTGATCTATTCTTCATTCCAGAGGCAGAGAGCACAGAGCACAGATCAGAGTGCAGAGTGCAGAGTGCTGAGAATTTAATCATTGATTTCAGATCACAGATGGGTATCTGATTTCGATATTCAATTCATCATTTTAGAACGCTCTTTTTCGCAGTGTATGTACTCGTGTGTGGGTGTGGTGAGTCTCTCTCTGATCGAGATAACTCAATTATGGGCGGCCAGGACATCTCTATCGCTTTGTTATTGGAGTTTCTTTTTGCCGCCGTACCCAATCGACGAGAAGGACGAGCAGAATGCGCCACGGAATCCCATCTTTGTCAGCTGCAGTACGTACACAATACGTATACCGTAATTATTCGATTGTGTACGAGTATTTCAATTCGATTGCAATTACTTGCAATCACCTGCAAGCGCCATCAGCAGCATCCAGCCCCCCCAGACCCCAGACCCCAAACCCCTAAGACCGCAGCTTACTCACAGGCCCTTCTGGCACACATCAATTCCAATCAAAATGAAATAAAAGCCGCCCCAACACATGTGTTTTATCATTGGGACTCGGCCTCCGATCCCCAAACCGACGCGTCAGGGGGTAGCCAGGGCGTTTAGTGGGCGTGGCGGTGGCGCTATCTAGTTCATAGCAAGATTTCCATATGGCAGCTGTTGCCACACTTCTGCCAGGCCAGGCGACACGACATTCAATCGGATTACAGACGCCTGTTTTGCCGCTTGTTGGATACATTTAAAGGGTATAGCCCGAACAGAGGGTATGCCAGAGCTTGAGGTCAAAATGATAGGATATGATAGGATAGAATAGGATAGGATATGATAGGATAGGATAGGTATCAAAGATAATAAAACACATGCAGAACAGCTTGCACTCTCACTCTCCCCTTATTCGAATGTGTCTCGTGTTTTATTTTCTTTGATACTCTGATACTCCTCACACAATTGGCCAAATAATTTTTTTATCACTCATGCTATGCTACCATTACTATTCCCCAGCAGAACTTCATGCAATATCCCAAAAATAAAAACAGAAATTCGATAGAGAATTTCTTCAAACTCAAGACAAAAATCTCAATAATATTCAATGCATTTTGGTAATGCTTAAAGCGACTTAATAACTTAATAAATATTGAAAATTTATATATGTATATAATAAATTTGCATTTTACCTAAATGTAGCTTCTAAAAACCAAAATCAAACAAATTCTTCTTCTAAATTTATGAACTAAAAATAAATTCAGCTTATGTTAGGGAAAGTATTTCTTATTATGCAATATACTACATATAGATATCACTATATTATATATATGTATCACCTTATTAACCCTTTTATAAACCTTAATGTAGCTTCACTATTATGGTAGCTTTTTTATCCAAAAACAAAACAAAAAAATCCCTCCAAATTTATTAGCTAAAAGAATTTTGCCTATGTTAGAGAGGTAGTACTTATTAGCAGCTATGTGTGTGTGTATGTATGCAATATATTATACATAGCACAATATATTTTATATGTACCCAGATTAGCAACCAACAATATATACAAATATATACCACTATATTATATATTATTTGAAATATTCTAGCTACTCGGCTACTACTATATAATCACAATATTATATTTCATATACTATTTTAATACTATTTTTATATAACTTACCACGTATTTATTCCCACATAATGTTTGTTTAAATAAGTTCGCTGAATGCTTTGATCCTTTGGTTAGAATAGCAAGGGTATTCCCAACGTTTATAGCTCTAGGCCTAGTTCTGCTAGGAGCAACGCTGCAGCGGCAGCGGAGCAGCATGAAGCAGCGTCTGGGCTGATTGATTGATTGATGACCCGACCCGACCCCAACCAACCCAAAGCCAGCCAAAGCGATGCAGCCACAAAACTGTAATGCAGCGGGGCAGGGCCGGGGGCTGGATGATCAATCTGGGGGATACCATAGCACACACCCATACCCGTAATGCTTTCGGCGACATATGGGTGTCCTCCCTAAAGAGCACTGCATGAGACGCATGAATATGAAGCCATTCCAACTAACCAACCCAACTAACTAACCCAACTTACCCAACTTACTAACCCAACTTACAAACTTACTAGCCTAACTAGCCTACTAACCCAACTAACAGTTTGCAGAATGCTCCAAGACAACTTCTTTGCATCGTTTTACAGAACCGAACTTTAGGAACTTTAGGGATGAGACTTCCCCCCCATATGGGCAGGACTAACATGTAATTACCCCCTATTATTTTTTCACCCTCTTCACCGAATGTAGGTCACATGCGACCCTCGTCGCCGCTGCTGGACTCGGTACGGGATCAATTCGAGGACTACGATCAGCTGGCCAAGGACTTCACGCGCGTGTTCCTCAACGAGGAGCCATCCTGCCTGAGCAACTCGCATCTCTTCGATGTGGTCTTCCTGGTGGGTCAGTCCAAGCAGAAGGCGCGCTTCATTGGCGTCCGGGCCATTCTGGGCGTACGCAGTCGCGTCTTTCAGGTGAGAGCATCCTTACATTTTGTTCCCAATGCGGAACTGATTGCGAGCCTGTTTTTGCAGGAGATGCTGTACGGCATCCAGACGGGCTTTGGGTCGCCGCAGATCCCAGTCGCAGAGATCTTCGCCCGGCCAGCGCCGTCACTGGTGTCGCCACAGAATCAGAAGCCGAAGAGCAACAACTATCTGACGGTGCCGGACTCGGACTCCATACGACCCAAGAGCGTGCCCTCGTCGCCGATGGTGAAGCGGGCCTTCTCCCGCCTGGGTACAATCACGGCGGGCTGGGGTCGTTCCATACGGAATAAGAACTCGAACCAACTGAATCCGGATGACAAGAAGAAGTGGATCTCGTCGACAGATTGTTCGAGTAAGGGTTCTCATTCAATGCAATGCAACAATATCGATGCGTGTTTTTTTTTTCGTCTTTTCTTTTCTCTCCGTTCTCCCTATTTGTTCTCCGCTCTCTCTCTCTCGCTCGCTCGCTCGCTCGCTCTCTTATGCGTCCTCTTTACGTCCTCGTACTCCGTTCCTGGTTGTCCGTAATGTCGCTAACCTAAAAACAAAAACCAAAAACCAAAAACCAAAACTAAAACTCTGTAAAATACTCTTTTGTGATCTTCGAACGTTGAATCCCCTGAACCATACACACATATAACAAAAAAAAAAATACCAATAATAATACGCACGTTGCACACACTTGAATCCTCTCTACCAACCGCTCTACGTGTAACTATTCCACTCAATATTTTACCGACCCATATACATATGTACCACATATATACCACCTGTATACATATACCAATACATACTCTCCCGAAATGGAACTCCTGGACGTCCTGTAACCTTTTGTTCTGCTCTATTGACTGTACAAAATGCCGAATAATTTAATTTCGTTGCCTCAAATATTTTGGAACATTTTGATTGATATGCACTATATACATATAATTGGCTAATCCCACACACAACTCCATTTGTCTTGCATTTGTGCACCACTGTGTCTGTAATTCCCGAATATATTCAACCCATAATCATAACCAACCATTAACCATTTGATAAAATACATTCATAAAACGTCGTGAAACAATTATTTTTAATTACTTTGAGCTAATTTTCTTTCACTCTCAATCTCTCAATCTGTTTCAATCTCAAATTTCTGTTACATTTTTTTCCTTATTTATTGTAATCACCACTGTAAATGTGCACCAAAATTGTTATTTATTTTCCGCACTGGCCCACCTGCTCGCTTTTGTGATCAAAATCTGACAATTGGATATCATTCAACTTGTTTTTGCTCTCTTGCCATTTCTATCTCTTGCTCTGTGTACATATATATTTTTTGTTTATTTGTTTGATTTAACTGAAAAAAAAAAAAAATCAACAAACAAATTGAATTCAAAACTAAACAACAAACAAAAATTTTGTCATCTCTCTCATCTCACGTGATTCGCCTCAACCGCCTCACCACTCTCGCAAACCGCCCACGCCTTAATCCGATTTGAAAACTATTTATTTTTGCCGTATTATTATTTGTTATTAATTTCCAACAAACCAAAAATCCAAATAAAAATCGCTCCATGGAATTCGGTTCGATTATTTTGTATGATTTGCATTGATTTGGATTTTGATTTTGTCGATCGATTGATTCTTGGACCGATACCGAAACCGAAACCGATACCGAAACTAAAACCAATACCAAAACCGAAACAACCACAATCCCCCAACGATAAATCGCGTTGATCATTTATCCCGGCGAGTGCAGATAGGGACAGCAAGGACAAGGACAAGGACAAACCGGGCAACAACCAGCTGGCGGTGCCACGACTCTCGGTCTGCGCCGACGCCCAAAAGGTGGACCGCGCCAAGCTCGCCCAAACGGAGTTCAACATCATCGAATTCGATCCGGACACGTTCCGTGTCCTCCTCGACTACCTGCACACGGGCACATGTCCCCTGACCTGTGTTTCAATACCAGGTAAGTCAATGTGGAATGCGGAATGTGGAGCATTGATTTGATTTGATCCTCGATCCCTGCTTCGCAGGGTTGCTGTGTGCCGCGGAGCACTACGATCTGCCGGAGCTGCTGCAGGCGTGCTTCCATCACTGCAAGCAATTCCTGCGCATCGAGGTGGTCTGCCCGATGCTCATCTCGCTGGAGAACTACTACTGGCGCTACACGTCCGCCTCCGAGCTGGTCAACATGATACTGTCCTTTGTGGAGAGCAAGGCGCACGCCCTATTCAAGTGCCCGGAATTCCTGCACCTGTCCGAGTCGATGGTGCAGATGATAATGTGCCGGGAACTGCAGACGCCAGAGATACGCAAATTCGAGGCGATGCTTGCCTGGGCCCAGCACAAGGTGGCCAAGCTGAAGAACCATCCCAACAAGGACACCCAATTCGAGTTCGAGTGCATCATGGAGCGGCTGACACGCGACCTCAATCTGTGCCGCATCTCGCCCAGCGAGCTGCTCACCGTCGTCCTGCCCTCCAAGTCGATGAAGAACGAGCGCATTATGGAGACGCTGATGGTGCAGGTGAACCTGGGCACCTACCGCATGCCCGAGCTGGATGCCTACCGACAGCAGTTGCGGCAGCAGGAGTCCGCCGATGCCACTGTGCAAGTCCACCGGGGTGGATGAGATAGTAAGAATGTGAGCTTCGATTTGGACCAGCAGCCGCTCGGCGCCATCGCAGCCACAACAACGAACATGGATGCGGGCGCCGGTGCTGGCGCTTGTGGCGGTGCCATTACCACGCCCACTGCCTCAGGAGTCCACCCACCCAACGATGTACGAGCCTATGCAATGGCCTCCCTGGCCGCCGCCCTCGATATGCAGCAACAGCAGGCCCAGCAGCGAGACGCCACCGACGAGGAGGTGGAGCTCTATGCCAGCTTCGATATGGGGCCGAGCACCAGCCGGGTGGCGGCCCAAATGCAGGCGGCCAAGGAGGCCCGTCGAAAGCGGTGGGCGGCCGATGGGGCCAGCGGGAGCAGCGGCGATGGTGGCTGTGCCAGTGGCAGCAGTGGAAGTGGTCGGCGCAATTGAATATCGAAGAGAATGTGAGTACGAGTGCGAATGTGAGAGTGTATATGTGTCTGTGTGTGTGTGTGTGTGTGTCTGCATCTGTGTGCGTGTGTGTGTGTGCGTCTTACCCACCGCTATGAAGCGCCCGAACCATCCAAATCGAAACTGACATTATTAACTCTTACATTCACCCCGCAAACGACTTGAGGCCCTGACTAAGAACTTAAGGATCTTGGATTAAGAAAAAGAATAAGAAGGATTGATTAATTGAACAGAAAGGCAATTTTTTGACAAGTATTACCATTACAAAAACCCCCCACCACCCCACTCCCACTTCCATTCCCACAATCCTTGTTAAAAGTCCCCACCCCACCCCCTACCCACACACACGATGGCATTCGATTTTTGATGGCCAACAAAAAAAAACAACTAAAAAACCGATACGCAGCCGAAAATAAAAAGATTTCGTTGCGGAATCGGAATCAGAATCGGATAAAAAGAGGAAAAACCCCAAAAAAAAAAAAAGAAACGCTTACTGATGTAAAACAAAGACTTAAAATTAAAACTAAATGAAAATTAAACCCAAATGTAAGCAACCAGAATATAAAAAATTTTTTTTATCAATATTATTATTGAAAAAAGTAAGCAGAAACCCCTGTAAGCCCCCCACTATTCCCATGTATATCCCCATGACCTGTAACCCACTCCTTAAAAAAAAAAAGATCAAAAGAGAATTTAAATGTAAAACCATAGAAAACTAAGAATGTAAGGTATAAAAACACCCCCCTAGGATTAACTATATATTATGTTTTTGAGATCTGCAAACCAGACGAATCGAACGATTCATTCGGAATGGAAGCATAAGGTTTTTTTTTTTTCTTTTCCATATTCTTTTTGTTGAACATTCTAAAGGTAGTTACTACTCACGATGTTCTACCGTTTTGATGAGATGAGAAATACAATAGTACCCTAAGAAGCCGGCATGCCCTGTGCTGTACATATGCCTTGGAGCGTAAGTCCAGTACATAGCATCCCCCTTATACTTACAATATACAATAGATATACATATATACATGTATACACATATATACAGAGTAATTTAAAGTATATACCTAACCAAAACATACACATATGTACATTAAAATACAATTTTTAGAGTGAGGCGACACTCAACTCAACTGTAAAGATGCTACAAAACATTTTCTGGTACTAAGTACCAGACACCAGAAACCGCATACCACTACCCGCATAAGCCTAAGCATAGCCACAATTACATATATCTATGTGTATATTTTCCAATATATAGTGCTGGCTTATCTAAAACCCAAACCAAAACCCCATGCTCCAAATCGAATACAAACGACAAAAAAGTTATCCTCTTAAATATAGGCACACACACAAACACAGACACAACCCCAAAACAACCCATAGTAAAAATAAGAATAATCCACAAAACAAAAATTACTCTTTAATGTATGAGAGTCAATAGAACCTTGAAACACTAAAACACTCTTGCAGATATAACTTGCAAACATATTTGTAGAAGTTTCCCCTAAGGGATACAGACACCAGGGGCGTAGCCAGAGTTGCTTTGACGAAAGAGAAAGGGACAAAAGGGAAGGGATGGGATAAATCTTATAAATGTTGTATGTTTGTGAAATAAATTTAACTTGGATCCGTGAATCACTTTACATGATTCTCGAATAAAATACGAATTCGAATTCGAATGGTATGAGTGTATCTGTGTCATGCTTGATACCGATACCTTCCATAGCTATGAGCGATGTCCTTTACGTTTTTATATCGTCGAAACCTGCTTCTTGTGATCTTTGAGAATTGAGTTGTCGAAGATATTTAAGTGTCAAGTGTAATGGCACAAATAGCCGCTGTATATTAATAGAATTTTGGATTATTGAGTGGATGCATCCATGAACAAATCATTGAATGCTATTGTAAATTATATCCATGAAGTTGCATAATGTCTAAAACGTTGTTGCCCGTACGACCGCAAGGCCTCAGGCGTATCTAAGTATATTATAATCGTTTGCTTGATTGATGTTCTTGCTAAATGTTCACACAATTAATATACAACTTGGGCATTTTGTTGCAAACGATCAATGACCATCAATGAGTGTCTAAGAATAGCACAAACTTTGCTCGATTGATGTTTGCTAGTGGCTCAAGATATCAGCTTTTGGATCTCAAAATGAATTTAAGTTGCAAATGATCGATCAATGTCCTTCAAAGAGATACAAATGTTCTTTAGGCTAAAATCGTGTTGCAACCATACTTTTAGCAGTAAGCAGTATTAAATGTTGTCTGTCATATCAATAGCAAAGCAGTTTTTAGCATAGCACCCTCCCCTCCCTCCTTCACCCATGGCTACGCCCTTCTATAGCCTCACAAAAAAAAAAACCGGAACAAAAGTACATGCTGAAATTGCACCCGGTAAAGTACATCCTCAAATGCACCCGGACAAATAATGTACATCGTCGAATAATACAACCGGTAATACCACGCAAGAGCGCTAGAATGTACCAAACAAAACGAAAGAGAATACCAAAAACCTAGGATACATAATGATCTTATAGAAAAGTCACACAAAACAAATACACTCAAATATTAAGTGACCCTCAGGCCTCAGCCCATAAACACAATACATATAAGAGATACCAAACCCCATAACAACCTCTGTAAGAAGCCACAAACAACATTTATGTCTCGATAATAAGATCACTCAAAAGAAGATCTTGCTTAACAGATTCCTCCAATACACATAGTCCATTTGAGGATTGTTGGCGGGAAAAACTATTAATAGAAACCATTACTTACCTACAAGGCGCATCATCAGATCGCACTGCAGTCCCATACATTTAACTCAGTTCCCATTAGCATACATAGTACATACAGAAAAATTTCAATTAAAACAACTTGGCAATACATAAGGTCAAGTCGGTAAAGCAAAGCAAATTCTAAACAAAGAGAAAACTAAATGTAAACGGCAGCATTTCCGAAAGGGTTTCACATAAATGTTCAAAGTCGCATATATCAAAATTCAATATCTACACAACTACTACTCGTATATTGGTGCCAGAAAAATGAAAAATGTAATACTGGAATACTGTAATACTGGGGACAAACAAAAGAAGAAAAACTCTTGTAATATCCTAAGCGAACACACAAACACACACACTAAACACAAAACAAGAAACAAGAAACCGAAACAAACTGCAAACAGAAAACACTAATTAAACGCTTTCAATGTGAACAAATAGTTATAATCAAACCAGATACAAAATAACCATACTATATACAAATAGATTCATATGTATGTGCATGTGTGATAGTATAAATCAAAATAGTCAGAACAGGAGCGTGAAACTTTGAACGAACGTACGGAATTGGTAATGCGACAGAACCGAAGAGAACATACCGAATTTGGACGAGTGTGTGTGTGTTGTTTTTCAATGCAAAATATGCAGTTGGAATAAATTGCAAGCCACCACACAAAGAGCCTGCTATTTGTGACAAACCGGACAGGACAAACATTAAGGATGACCTTTGACGCAGATACAGACCGAACATATTAATGGAGTAATATCAATTTTTTTTTTTGTAGCATAATATCGGACATGCAACTGATGGACTAACAACAAAATGGGGGTACCAAACATATAAAATAAATAAAATGGAAACGACTAAGCCACATGGACCACAGACGTTGACAAAGACGGATAGCAAAATGTCTAGGAATGGATCTTTTCGAACGAAGCAAAAAAGGTTCATTTCCAAACCCAAACAAAAACAAAAACAAACAATTTTATGGAAATAGAGCCCACATAGTTGAACGCATTGTGAATGAGACCAGGCGACGAACAGTCCACTCAGATTAACCATATACACACATACATACATATGTGCATACAATATGTAATAGTTATACAATACAACAGTTGTTGGCGTTTGTTTTTGTTTTTGGTGTTTTTTATGTGTGATTAACCTACAGATAAATACATAGCAACCGATATCAATACAATGGAAACATAGCTGTATTTTAACTGTCTATCGAGTCTTATCGAGTCAAAATAACTGTTTGAACTGAATGTATTGATGTATTTACCATTTACCATAGAAAGCTGAAAAGCAAACCGCAAAAACAAAACAAAAAACTACAAATAAAAAATAACAAAAATATATATACATATATATTTACATGCATTATTTTGGAGCAGAGGCGTTTCTAAGTGTTTTTTGTGCCGTGCTGTAAACTAACCGAAAACTACTCCCAACTACTGTCACGGCCCCAAAATCTCGGACTTGCCGGGATTCAGCCTGATCTGTCTTTGTCCTGTACTGTATTCGACACTTTGTGGCATAAAAAAGTTGGACGGGGCAGGGCAGGCTCCCCCGCGAAACACACTTTTGATAGCAAAAAAAAAAACAAAAACAAAAAACAAAAACCCCTAAAACAAACTCCGTGCAAAGCCGCGACTCCTTTTGAGCTGATCTGAAAACAGATCTACATACGATCTGCAGATCAACGAAACGCAAAAACAAATTACACAACAACAACAAAAAACTCTAAAAAAAAATGTTTGTTAAATAAGAAAACACAAAACTCAATTCAATTGCAGAATTATGCAGAAGCTTACTAAATGTTGTAATTGCCAGAGCCATGCAAAACACAAAAACACGCAACTTAACTATAAACAAAAATAATAAAAAATGTAAAAAAAATTATAAATCACAATGTGTTCTTATTTGTTTGGCGAAAGTGTAAGCCGGAGTCTAACTGGCTATTTTATCGCCTTTGGAAAAATGGTAAAATTTCTCATAGTGCAAATCAGCGACTGCGGCTGTCGCCATTTTTCGTTTCTAATGGCTGCTAGAGGTGGGATCGTATTTTTTATTCGATCATCTCGGCACGAAAAAATACGATGAACAATTTATTTTTTTCATTTATTTATTATAGCAAAACACGATGGGTCTTCAGACGTCTTAACTAATCGTTACGTGTGTGTAACGCTTAAAGCCTAGTTCTCAGATCGACGATCATATAAGAGTGCTATTCGTATGAGAACGATATGAAATAATGCTTGTGTTTTGGTCGCGACAGTACTCATTGAAAAGCAAAAAATTACATTACAAATTTGATCACACTTCGATAGATGTCATCAAAAACTGTAAACATTCAACGACGCAGCTCGACTTGCTGCAAACAAAACATTTATTATTTGATAAAACATACTACAAATATTTTTACGGTATCATGTCACGCCCTACGTCCAGGATGAATGGAATTTTTCCAGTGCCGCGTTCTCCACCGAGCCGCAACTTTCTCAACGAAAATAAAAAGAGCTTGCGCTCGCTGGAGAAATCTACAACTGAGAAGCTGGCAGCCAGGGAGCCAGTGCGTCCCAAATGGATGCCAGCCATGCAGCGCGTGGATTCCGAGGCAAGAGAATCGAAGGCAGCCAACCGACCCCAGACCCCGGTATCGGTGTCCACACAAAACACCCGCGAAAGCAGCCTGACGCGCAACCGTTTGAATTCGTGTTCGCATCACCAATTGGGTGTGGGCGCCGCAGAGTCTGGCCAACGTATTGGCCGCCCAGCTCAACGCAATCCGGTGTACTATGACCCCTCGGAGGTAGCATCACAGTCCTCGGAATGCTGCAATTCTTGTGGCACACAGCGCAGCTGCACCAGCATTGCCATACAGACAGAGGACATCTGCGATGAACTCTACCTCACAAATGCCCTAAAAAAGTAAGTACAGACAGTAATATATATCTGAATGTGGCATTATTTTTGCTCTCTTAGATGCAGTTCTGATGGTGCATCCGGGATGGGTGAGCGTGAGTCCGCCAGTAGCTACAATCGGTATGATTATAGCGAAGACGAGGATCTACAGTCACTTGGCACATATGGCAGACAGCACCAGCAAAGTCCCCTCAACATGAATGATGATCAGGAAATGGAATACTGTGAGTAAATTCTACGTGTTCCCCCCACGCCTTGAAGGCTAATCCAGCTTTGTGCTTCAAACAGCACGCGACAGCTGTCATCCTCGGTTTCTGGAGAAGGATGCAAGTGATCCGGAACAGGCACGTGTTGTCGAATTGAACAGCGCACAGCAGCGCTATGATGGGCTCATCAGCGAGTTAAATCACATGCCCATCACCTCGCAGAGTCTGTGGGTGCGCAACCGCAAGGCAGAAATTGACAAGGAGCTGGCCATCGTGGATGAGGAGATTCGGATCTACTCCAAGCCCAAGCTATACATTAACTCTAGCAAAAATAAGTAAATCTGACAGCTGTACACGCAACACCCAAAGGAGTCTTTGCATTCAGCTGACTGGTTCTTAGTTCATAGTTTTTGGGGGGGGATCTCAGAACTACTCCCCCGCAAAAACTATGAACTATGATCTCCGCCCTATATGTGGCTTAAGGAGTAGAGTACAGGCAGCCAGTCATATGAATGCATACAACCTAAGACTCCACTACACACCACAAAACTTCGCGCTGCAAAATTCCAAAAATTTGTCTTGATATATTAAACTTTGATTGTTCATTTTTGAAAGTTTAATACCTTTTCTGATTAATCATCTAACTTTACGAAATTCCTGGAGTTTACTATATTATACGGATGCGATTCCGAAATTGGTAAGGACAATGAAATTACACTCCACAGCATTGTCGCCTGCATGGGTAGGGTAGGGTAGGTTTTGATGGATTCGTTTCGTTTAATTCTAGCTTTTATTGAATTTGTTTCGTTATTGGTATTCATAAGAGTTTTACATGTTCGGTTTGATGGTTTATTTGTTTTTCAGTTGAATGTTTTTACAATATACAATATGGGGGCATAAAAACTAAAAACAGAGAGTACAGAGTATGGATGGGTGTGCGCATATACACAAGATCATTCCATGGTTACTTCTCGCATTACAAATATTACAATATATAGGCCTAGACATACTCGGTACCAAAGCTTAAACTTTAACACATAAATCAGTCGAAAACAGATCGTTTCATGAATTGTTGCTTGTTGCCGAATGCGTTCGTACATACTCGTACATATGTTTGTGGGTATGTATGTATTTTATATAATAAATAAAACATTTGCATTATCATAATCGTTACAGTAGTCGGTTACAATATATATTATATATATATATATATATTTTTGTTTCCCATTTTATGTGCTTGGATTTCCCTTCTGTTTTGTGGTTGAATGAAAATTTAAATATATGTAATCTAAAACGAATTTGCAAACAGCACACATCATGCCACATACATACGCGCCTGCATCTCCTACTACACTCTACACGCTACACTCTTCACTTTTCTATATACAAGGCTCTTCTATACAATACAAATCAACTGAAGTTCTCCTCTTTTGGGTTTCGATTTAGCTAGTTGATAGTTGCTAGAGTTGTGGCTTGAGGCCACAAAAATTGTGATTAGAATTTGGTTTGGGCTTTCCACACAGGGCTCTATTTATATGTATGTACGATGTCCGTATGCAGGGGATAACACGGGTATGGGTCTAGTTAAGGAACATGTTAAATGGACTACAAATATTTACAGAGGGAAGAGTCTCTTTTAGGGATTTTTTTTTTTCTTTTCTTTTTTTTTTTTTTTTTGGGTGTATACTCGTACAAATCGAAATTGCTCTTGACTCTGTGACTCTCCTATATGGAATATACTATATTCATGTATATAATAGGTATATATGCTTGTATATATCTGTGTATATAGTTTTATAATGTAAACATTTAACATTGAAAGGGGCATATAGTAGTAGACTGAACGATAGATAGATAGATAGGAAGATATATAGATATCTCAATGGACAAACATTATTGCTTTCAACTATTGCACAAAGGAATTTATATATAAGACTCGTAGTATATAGATCGATATATGTATCTTCTGATTCTAAACAAACAAGAAATAATAATGAAAACGAAAAGAAAGAACACAGCGAAAGAAGAGAGTAAAATAAATTAGAATTAGAATTAGGCGTTTTTTTTTTGAAGATGAAGAAGATTCGCTGAGGCCAAACACTTATACGTATAAGACTTTTGAACACTTTCATTTGCTTTTTTCTCTATAATATTTCGTCTGTCTGTCTGTCTGTCATTCTCAATCACATGTCCACGGCGCCTTATCCTTCCATCTGTTCCCATTTCTGCTGTTGGTTTTTGCTGTTGCCGTAGCCATTGCTCCTGGCCATGCATGCCCATCCGTATCCGTATCCGTTTCCGCATTAGCATCCGCATACAAGCTGGCATACGAACCACTCGCCGAGCATGTCCGACGACCTGCTACGCCTATTCCCCCCACCGTTGTGGCGGTGCTCAAGGGACCTAGTGGCGCCGGCATCGACAGCGATGCGTCCCCCATTGATGCATCCAGAACGGAGGCATCGGAGGCATCACCTGCACCGCCGGAATCGTCATCGAAGCCATACCAGCATCACATGACCATGATTTGCAGCGCCACTCATTGATCTATGGTGCGATAGATGCGTCTCTGTGGCTCGGGGGTGTAGTGAATGCGGGTGCGGAAGTGCTGCGGCGATCCGGGCACGCTCTCAGAGCCGCGTCGCGGCGGCGGCAACGGCGGCGATGCCGACACATATCTACAGGCATGAAGAGCATTAACATGGTTTAGAGCAGGCCAACAATAGACCAAAAAAGAAAAAAATACCCACCGTCTGTGAAGCAGGGGAGAGCCTGGCGGCTGTCCGCTCAGCTCTAGCAGATTCTTGCGCAGCAGCAACGGCGACTGGCCGCGATTGTAGCGTGGCGGCGGATCCGGACTCCGATGCCTGCGATCCAGTCCGGCCAGTATGTGAGGACTGGGCGGTGTACTGATGCTGCCGCCGCCTCCGGGACCGGCACCACCACTGCTGGCATAGCGCCGCAGGAAGCCAGCGCTGCTGGCCAGCGGCTCTGTGGTGGGGGAGGTGCTCTGGCTGGTGTTGCTGCTGCTGCTGGCCGCCGAGAGGGTGCGATAATAGTAGGCCTTGCCGCCGCCATTGTTCACGACACTCCTGTAGGCCGGCGGCTGTACCTGCGACTGCATCTGTGGCTGCGACTGCGACTGGAGCTGCACTGGACTCGTCATGGACTCCATGGTTTGTTGTTGCTGGTTCTGGTTGTGGTGCTGTAGCTGTGGCTTGGCTGTAGCTGTGGCTCACCCGCGCTGGCCACCGGTGACGTGGCTGTGGAATTCAATTGGGTTTTAACATAGGTGGCAAACTGTCGCTTCATGGCGCCGGCGAGTGTGTTGAACCAGCCTGATGCAACGATGATGAATGATTGATTGATTGATTGTTTGATTGATTGATTGATGGAGGCAGTGCAATGATTATGGCGTGCATTTTGTGTGCGTATTGTGGTGCATGGTGCATGGTGCATGGATGTGCGGTGCGTGTGGAGAAAAACAAAGAGAGAAAGAACGAAACGAAAATGTAAATGCAATCGAAAAGATTTCCTCCCCAAAGCTCAAGCTCAAAGCAAACCCAACCCCCCAAAAGCGTCAGCCAAACTATAAAATAAATGAGGCGGCGGCGCCCACTCACCCGCATCGTGGTGCTCTTTCCCGTCCAGGCTGCTGCTGCTCGCCCCACTGCTCGAGCTCTGTCCCAAAAGTTGACGGCGGGCATACAGCTTGCTCAGCTTGCTGGCCACCATCGATCCCCCACCACCCACGCCTCCTCCTCCTCCGACGCCATATTCCATCTGTGGATGCGGTTGCTGCTGCTGCTGCTGTTGCTGCAAGTGCAGGTGCAGGGGCTGCTGTTGCTGTTGCGGCTGCTCTGGGGATCTGGGACTGGTAGCCGCCTCCGCCGTAGTTAGTGGCAGCGGCTGGTACTGCAGCTGCTCCGCACTGCCCACCCCAAAGTGTCCCGCAGCCGCCGCAGTTGTCGCTCCAGGTGGCGATAGGCTGGCGAGGGGAGCAGCAATCTGCGAGCACGTCGACTGCGTGGACGACTGACTAGATGTGGAGTGCGTCGAGGGCGGTGGCGGCACGTAGTTGCTGTGGAACGGGTTCGTGCTAGTGCCGCCGACTGGCTGCTGGCGCTGATGCTGGTACCGCTCGGCGGCCTCTTTCTCGCGAAGCTGGTTCTGCTGATGGTAGAAGCGTTGCAGCACTAAAACAGGAGAGAGAGAGATTAAATCTGTTTGCTCTCAGGAATTCTTTCTAATATTTTACCTATGGGGCTTTGATTCCCTGGCTGTAAACGCGGTGGTTGCTGCTGCTGCTGCTGTAGTTGGCAGTTCAGCTGCAACGTCACCGGCGAGCCTGTTGCCGCCTGTGTTTGTATCTCTGTGGTAAATGGCCTGCGCTGCAGCGAGGGTGAGGGGGTAGATAGGCCCATGGTCAGGGTATTTGCATTCGCATTCAAATTCACATTACTACTACTATCACAGCTGTCGTAGGCTAAGGGATTATCCGCTGGCAGTCGCCATTGGGGCGTGCTGTGTGCTGTCGCTGGCGCTGTTTCTGCTGTTGTTGGCGTTAGCGTTGGCACTGCTATGCTGCTGCTGCTGCTGCTGCTGTTTTATCCGTGGTTGTTGTGGTTTGGTTGGTTTGGTGCGGCAGTGTTGTTGTTCCTGTGGATTTTATTGCTGTTGGTGTTGCTGTTGGTGTAGTCGATGCTGACGATGACGATGTTCCATGGTGTTTCTTTTGGCTGAAGGGCGATGTCGTCAGATTGCGTAGAATCGATTGGCCTGCAATGCGCAACGAACGAGAATGAGCAAAAGATAAGATAAAGAACCCAAAACTGATAGTTTCAGCTGGAGCTGGTCTATCGTTCAGATAGTAACAGAATTAACTATTGTTTATTGTAAAAATAATTATAGAATAGAAATTTCCAAAGGAGTGATAACGGGGGTACGAGTACGAGTCACTCTGCGAGTGAGAGAGAAGTAAGAAAAATCCGATTGCAGACAAGATCATTACAATAGATTCTCCATTGTGCATGCAGCGAGTGAAAATTAGCTACAGCGAGAGAGCACTAGCTACAGCGAGAGAGCACTGGCGAGATGCCAGATGGGCAAATTCCAAACGGAGAGTTGCCAGAACCGGATACAGATTCCAAATTCGGAGAAGCCCTTTGCAGAGCCATCCCGATTCGATTACAGCTCCACCAATGTTTTATGTTAACTCAGAAAAATCGTTGCTAAGACTCATTGCGTATACCCACCAATGCTGCTGAACATCGACTCCTTCTTGGGGCTCTCATCATTGTATTTGTAGTGCTGCGGCTGATAATGATGAGGGTTTCCATTGCTCAGCTTCCGCTGCATAAAGGGCGACTTCCGATACAGTGGCGACAGTGGGCTGGCACAGATGCCACCACCACTGGGCGGCGACAGTGGACTGGCGCTTATCCCACTGGCCGGCGACATTGGGCTGGCACTGCTGCTACCGCTCCTGCTCCCACCACTGTGGCCGAAGCAGTTTGTGGCTGTTCCTGCTGTCGCTGCTGGCGTAATTGTTGTTTGAGGTAGTTGTGTGGCTGATTGTATGAAATACTGCGACTGTTGCTGTTGCTGTTGTAGCGCCTGTGGTTGCTGGTAGCTCGGTATCTGTGTGGGTTTTATTGTCTTTTGTGGATTCGTGGTGCTCGGCGCTTGGTAGGATATTGCCGCTCTGCCGTATTTTGTTGGGGCTGCTCCTGATACTGGTACCACCACTGATGATGTTGCTGCTGCTACTCCTGATCCAGGTCCTCCTGCTGCACCACTTCCACTTGTTGCCGCTGCTGCTGCTGTTGTTGTGGTTGTTGTTGGTCTGCAATTATCGTAGGATTCATATTAATCGATGGAGTCATCGATATCACAATATCAATATCGATATGGAAAACCAATGGATGAGAGGAAAACACTGAAATGTACGGCCAGAAGGGCAGAAACACGGGGGGCAAGATTGTGAAGGGAGTGTGGAGTGGAATGGGTGAGTGGGTGGGAGGGTGACAGGGTGGCAGGGGGTGTGTAGGAGACAAGGATGGTACATATGTACATATACATACATATATACATACTATGTGTATGCACAGCAAAACACATAAAACATACATTTAGATAATATACATATATAAATGATTCTTGGTGTGTGTCTGTGTCGGTGTCTGTGAGTGTGGGTGTGTGTGTTGTATATACAGTTTCTGTGTGTATATGTGTATGCATGTGGGTGTGTGTTTGTGTGGAAACAGAGATCAAGCGAGAGAATGATGGAGCCAGCTAGAGGGAGAAACAGCTACAGCGAGTGAGGAATAGCGAGTGAGCAATAGCAAAATGCCAGACAGGGGCGTTGCCAGACAGATAATAGAGATGACAATTCGTTGAAGCATCAGCATCAGGATAACTGTTTGCTTAAGCGCTACTTTTAAGACACTCAGCGCCAGGGGTTGTGTCTCAAATAAACAAATGACTTTACACATACATACATGTACAATACTTTTCTCATAGTCATATGATAAAAATTGAAGGGGAAGGGAGCGGGGCACAAACAAAAGAAGAGGAGAAACTTAACTGCTTACAAATAATGTACAACACAACTAAGCACTATTCAAAATAACGAAATTACCTTCTTTGATGTATGTATGTATGAGCTTGGTGGAAACTTTTGATAAATCAATAAAAAAAATTAAAAATAAAATCAAAACCCAAAACCGAAAAACTAATAAAAAGCCAGGCCAAAGTCATGCGAGCCACATGCAAATAAAGAAACCCAAGAAATCAACAAAAATCAATCAAATAAAAGAAAGGAAAATAAAAAAGGAAGGCAAACTTCGGTCCAACCGAAGCTTCAGATACCTTTGCAGTTCGATTTTAATCCCATATGCCATATAAAACGTTTCATTGGACTTTATTTCTAGCCAACCATTCCCCTATGATTGTTCCTTAATTAGAACAATTAACTGTAAATGATTCCCTTACACAACATTTAAATGTTAGATACCATTAGATAGATCTTATTAACCGAATTTGATAAGGTTTACCCCATGGTAGATTTGGGATTCTGTTCAATTTTGTAGCCCTATGCTCTGACCTTTTATTCTGCGATGCACTTGATTAACTTTTCTGCTAGGGCGTTGACGGGGACTAAGCCCTAGGCTGTAATTTGTATCTTTGCAAGGGTATGCGTTAGTTAATGAAAATTAGTAAAGCTTATGATCGTATGATACCGAATGTATGTATATACAGCACATGAAAACTATAATTAGACGGCTAAAAATGGTAATAATAAACTCTTCGTACTTACTGAATTTTACTTTTGATTGGGGAGGAGTTTTTTTTTTATGGTATTGAGTAGTTATGTTCTTGGTATTATCATAATATATAGTAAATATATATATATAAGTATAGGTTTATATCTGGTATATAGATTGGTATCGGTATTTATTGGTTGCTTGCCAGTTTTGTTATACATATATGTAGTATATATATATATTGTATGGATGCTGTTTGGCTTTGGGTGGTTCATGTAGTTTGGGTTTTTAATATTTTGGCTTTCTTTATGGTTTGCTTGGGTTGTCTTCTGCATTTTTGATTATATATTTTTATAATTTTTCGTTATCATTTTCGCATTATTTTTTCATTTTCAATGGTTCAATTCTTTCAGGTTTGTTTTTGTATTTGTATTGGTTTTGTTTTTTTTTTTTGTATTTTAGAAATGGTATTAGGAATTAGGTAACCTACAAAAAATGGTAATAAAAAGATGGTAAAAAAAGGAAAATAAAAACACTGCGCGCACACACACTTTCAAATGAGACTCTTCAACAAATTAAACGTAAAATGGTATCACAAAAATTGGAAGAAACAAATAAAATTTTGTAAATATTTCGTAATACCTAATTTTCCAAGGGTTCTTGTTGCTGTTGGTGGGTCTACGGGGCAGCGTATTACTAATACTGAATGCATGTATATAGAGATCTAGTACGCGATGGGAGCATAGACGGATAGATACAGGATATAGGACAGACTTTACAGTGGAGTGGGGCGGGGGGGTCATGCACTTTCCAAAGGTTTACACCAACTCGACCTCGGACACCCAGTGCGTTTCAGTATTAAAAATATCCACAAATATCGGGATTTAAATCTAAAAATAATTTTCCCATTTGAAATATTTTCAATGATAACTGAATAAATTTAAGAACTGTATTTATTCTATTCTACTTCTGTTTTTAACTCCCATTATCTCTTTCGTTCAGCATATGTTGCCAAAACGCACTGAGCAGATCGAAAAAACCTTGGAAAGAACATTTTTTGCTATGCCCCTAGGATCTAGTTCTAGAACAACAAATTCTATATTGCTATAATTGCTATAATGTGTAACGTGTGAAAAACGAAGAGAGGTGTCTCAAAGAAAACATGCCAAAATCATAAACAAAAAGGAAGAGAGAGAGAGAGCGATAAATAGGAGGAGCAATAAGAGAGTGTATCAACTGAAGAAAGATCCTTTGCCAGTAGAAAAACTAAAGAAAACTAGTCCTAGTAGTGTAATTTAATTGGTTAAAACGAAAAATTAAGGAAACAAGCAATTTGGATTTAGTTGCTAGCATTAGAAATTAGAAAATAAACATAGTTTTTTGGGTTAGGCAGTAGTTTGTCCTACGATTAGGTACTGTTGATCCTTTCTCCTACCTTCTAGCAGGATCGAATGCTTCCCAGATATGGAGTGAAGAAGCACAGAAAACAGAAAACGGATACGGAAAAGATACGCGCAGAGACAGATCTATACAGGGACAACCGCATCGTCCGCGGATTGTACATATTTTTTGGGATAGTATTTTTGTGGGAACTGTGTGATTTTTCTCGGGTTTTCAAAGAGACGGGGCTCTCCGATCTCCCGGTCTCCTCACCTCTTCAGCGTGGGATCGCCATTGACGCGCAGCCGCTTGCCGGCTGTCTCCATGACCATTTGAAACCAATTTGGAACATCTACTTTAGCCGTTTCATAGTTCCGTATGAATGGCTGCACCAGGAGCTCCGGATACTTGGGTCGATCCTGATGGTTCTTTGTGAGGCTGCCAAACAAAACAAAAAAAACAGGGATATTAATTTCTATGAGCTTTTTGGCTTTAAAAAGCAAGGGATCAAGAGGACGCACCACTTGATGACAAAATCGTGAAACTCATGACTAAAATTGAAACCCTCGCCGCTGGGCAGGCAGGGTGGCTCCGAGTCCAGCACCTTGGTGAGCACTTCAAAGTCCGTGTTGCAGCCTTCGTAGGGGGATCGCGCGGTGGCCAGCTCCACGAGCGTAATGCCCAGCGACCAGACATCGGCGCGTATGTCATACTTTGGTTTCTTTGGATCGATGCGTTCCGGCTAAAAGGAAGGAGTAAAGGAATATAAATAAATATGTACCGTGCACGGCCAAGCCCCGCCCCATGTACGCACCGCCATGTACGCCGCACAGCCAGCCGAGCGCGTGTTGGCCTTGGAGTCCACCAGACGACCGCTGATCCCAAAGTCGCAGAGCTTGATGTTGCCACGCTCGTCGATCAGTATGTTCGAGGGCTTTACGTCCCGATGGATGACCCCGTGCTTGTCTTTCAGATACGACAGGGCATTGACCGTCTGTGGAGTGTGGGAAATCCAGCGATATATTAAAGGGAAATCAGTCAAAAAAGTAGAGCCGCCATTTACCGCCACTGTGACCTTGCCGAGAATGCATTCCGGCACCGGCTTCTTGGAGAGCTTGAGCAGCTTGTCGAAGCACATCGACATCAGTTCCATGCAGATCCAAACGTCCGGGTCGCGGACAAAGCAACCGAGGCACTTGACAATGTATTTGCAGTCGTGGGACTTGAGCACCACATCCAGATCCATCAGGATGCGTTTGTTCTCCTCCGCATTGCCCGTGCGCCGCATCTGCTTGACAGCAATGACCGTCTCGCTGGAGACATGCAGCATTTTCACCACATTGCCGCTGGTCCCGTTCCCCAGGTCACCCAGGTGCCGCAGATCGTGGATGTCCGTCGGGTACTGTCGCCCGTTTATATTCAGCTTGCCCGTCTGGGCCATGATGATCTTCAGCTTCTTGTCCGTCTCCGTTTCCGAGGGATGCAGCTGTGTAGGCAGCGACAGGATCATTCGGCGCCGATACGAGCCAGCCTCAGCTGCAGCACATAAATGTGATTACAAATGAATATTAAATATTAGTTTATAGGGTAAAGTAAAATGGAACACCTCCTGTACGGAGTAGACACGAATGTGGAAACAAATCTATTGAAATAAGGGATGAGAAATATCTAATTGGCACATTAAATACCATTAAACAGAAGCCCACAAATATGTATATATCAAAGCATATCCCTCTATGGAAAATCATTCAGACGACAGCCTTCCTTATCGACAACAAAGCTTCCCCATTCGAATGTTCGATTGGGAGACGACGAGACGATAACGATGTCAATAATAACAATGGCAAAAAATAACAACAGTTCCCTCAAACTGTAAACAGTAATAATCCCTAAATAAACATACACAGACACACACACACACGCACGCCATCACATGTACACACATTTCTTGGGAAACTGTTTTAAAGAGTTTCAAAGAGAATTACTTTTACGCACAGTGGGTGCAACTTTTCATTTGACTGAGAACAATATCAGCTAATTATAATTTAAAAAACAAATCTATATGCCTGAATATATATTTTTGTTTTCAAACAATAATTTTTAATTTACATATTTGTAATTTGTAAAGCCCATGGAGTGGACACGACGTAAAGATAAGCCCGGTTCATAGAGTAATTACTAAATAATTTGTTTACAAGCTCATAAATTATTGAAAAATGTCAAAATGGTCAAGATAGTGTCAGAAGGGCGGCACCTTACAGGCACACCTAATCTAAAGATAAAATTCTGTTATTTTTCATACATAAAACATATTACATACAGATTACAGCAGAACGACTTTCAGTGGTTGAGGGATTTCAATGGGTACTCCAATTTCCAGTTTAAATTTAATTTTGTCCCACTGTGCGCCTTTTACGATCTCCCATTTACGAGTTTCGAAGTACTGATCAGAGTGGTGGTGGGTGGAAGGGAGAGAGCAAGGGTCGCCAGCAACGCTGACAACGCGAGAGAGGGAGCCACACTTGGCTTTTGTGTGAGGTTCTAGTATCTTCCCTCCACTTACTCCATTCTCCAATGACAAAAACAATTAAAAGTGAAACAACAATTAGCAATAACAACGACAACAAGCAACAAAAGCAAGGCATAAACAAATACCGTTATGTGTAAACATGCGAAAGAGGAGACACACACACGAAATCCATAACAATCGACTATTGTCGAGGGGGGTTGGAGGGAAAGAAGAAACGCGAGAGCGGAGCGGCGTATCATGAAATTTACTCCGGAAATGCCAAAAAAATAACCAATAAAATACCTATTGACAGAGAGAGTGAGAGAGTAAGCGACGAAGGAGAGAGCACATATGTACACCCACACACACACACATACAGAAAGTATGGGCTGATGAAAATCCAATACGATTGCGGTGAGGGAGGATAACGCATGGAGGGGGTGGTGGTGTCACTGAGGGATGGCTGTAGCTGGACGGACACACAAGGCAAGTGCTTTTTTTTGTTTTGTTTTTGCTATATATGGAATAAGATACCGCACAAATGTAGACTGGTATATGCAGTCTTGCATGTGTGTGTGTGTGTGTGTGTGTGTGTGTGTGTGTGCCGAAAACAAGTTTTGCTTTGCTTTTGGTTTTCGCACTTGGGGCCAACCGACCGACCGCCCTCACACGCCCCAGACACCTCTTATCTATGCAATCGCCAAACGCCATGAGAGAGGAGGAGGAGGCGGAGATAGATAGGAGGGTGAGGACACAGTCCCGTTATGCAGTAGTACCAGAATCTATAGCGTATGCCCCCCGTTTGTCAACACGGGGAAATCAATTGCTTATAAGAAACAAGCAATAATTCTTATCAGAACACAAACATGCATACATTCACACACACACACACAGCTTATTGATACTCCTAGCCTACCCTACCCACCCTCTCAACACAAAAAAGCAAACTTACACAGTGGCAGGCTCGGTGTGGGACGCGGACTCCTGGTGGTGGGCGGGATAAAGGTGCCGCCATAGACGCCCGCTGAGGGGGCCAGCGCTGGCTGAGGAACTGGTGGCGCGGGTCGGGAGGCTAAGCTGATGGGCGGTCCAACTGTGGTGGAGGTGGCGGCAACGGTGGCCGGTGAGGGGGCTGCTGGTGCTGGTTGGACACGCGCCAGCGATGAGGAGCCTCCGCTGACGCCGCTGCTGCCGCCGCGCGGCCTCGATAAGACAATTTGTTCATGGGATTCGTTCTGCGCCTGCAGCGCAGCCTCCAGCGACTGCAGTCGACTGCCAATGAATTCGATGGTGGACATTGTTACGGTTCTTTACGGGATGCTCTCCTCTTCTCTCTATCTTCTCTTTGACCAGCACGAGAGCAGAGCTGTGGTGGCGGATGAGCGGTGCAGGTCCTGGGGTCTTCGATTTTTCTTACTGGAGCGGCAGCGGTGGCGGCGGCGGTCTGCAGCACACACACACACACACACGCACACACTCAGCGCGCGCGTGAGTGTGAGTGTTTCTTGGGCTTTTCCTTTTATTCTGCTTTTCCCTCTCTTTCACTATATTTTTGGTCGAGGGGTGGGGGCGGTGCACACGCGCTTTTGCACAAATAATTAACTGTTGTTGCCGAAACAAAAACAAAATTCACAAAAAGAAAACAGCGACAGCGGCGAGAAGAGAGAGAGAGAGAGCGAGGCACGCACTCACTCACACAGCACCACACAACAACAACAGCAACAACAGGAGCTCGCGATTTTTTTTTCCTTTTTTTTCGATTGGCACACGACGGCGACGACGTTTGAGGGTTTTTGTGCCGAGGAATAGCTACGGTGCATTATTTGCCTATGATTTGCAGTTCTGCCGCGGGCAGCGGTCGCATTCGCACTATTATTACACCTTATTTGCTTGATTTATTGCTTGGAATCGCATGTAAAATCTATAAAACGACGAACGACCTGGCAGAGCAGTAACAACGATAACAAGAGTGGCCAGAAATGCACTAACGCGTCATGCGAAAATACGCTAGTGCGTTTCTGGTTGGAAATACTGAAAACCAAACATAAGCAATCAGGCTGGCAACCCTAACCACTCACATCTCTTTCGTGATCAAATATGAAATGGAGTTTGAAATTTGTTACCCTGTAACAAAATTCCCCTACATATACTAAATAATCTTGGTATTTAAACAGCGTAAAAAATGGGAGAAAATGTAATGCTGCTTACGAGTAGCTTATTACTCAAAGATAGGGTATGATATAATTTTATACCAGCACCATTCAAGTGCCGCTTGTCGCACAAAAATACCGATAGTTTTTGTGCATTGACAAATTGCAAGTTTAATCAAAATAATCAGGACATGAAACAACAGAAAACTATTGCCGATTAGCCCAGAACACAGAAAAATAGTTCCGCTGATGCTATATCCCACAAAATGGTCCATATTTTCTAGTACTCACATATAATGAGATATTATTAACAATAGCTATATATCGATATATTGATATATCAATATATATCTAACATCCCTAATTGTTTTTGACGAGGACGAGGAATACGCGAGGAAAAGCAAGAAAATTGCAGAGAAGCGCGAGAAAAACAGGAAAAGTGCAAAACGGAAAAGCGCGGCCACAAAGTCAAACCGAAGCGCGGCATTTTTACAGCGTTTGCATTCCATTCAGACGCACAGCGAACGTGCTTACCACGAACACGGATCAGGTTATTTTGACCAAATGTGGTAAAAATAGCAGACAGCAGAAGCATAGAAGCAGCAGCCACTGCCGCCGCCGCCGCGCCGTCGTCGTCGACGCCGACTCCCAAAACTCCAGAAAAGCCCACACGTTCGAAACCGAATCCCCCCTCCCTCCTCCCACAAACGGACGTACGCACACACAAACACCCGGCCACACGCAGACTGAAATCCGTGCAACAGAAACGGGGAAAATCTTTTTGCGGAAAAGTGCATAAACCCAGAAAAGAACCAAGCCATAATGTCACGACCACGTCCGCGTCCGCAACCCATCAGTATCCACCGCGAGCCGGAACAAGCTCTGTAAGTTCTGCGCCCTAAAACCCCCCGAAAACCCTCGGAATAATCCATGACTTCTACTGCTGTCGTTCCCATTGCAGTGTCCCGCCACGGAACCTGGACTCACGCGCCACCATCCAGATCGGCGACCAGACCTTCGACATAGATGCCGACAGCCTGGAGCGAATCTGTGATCTGGGACGGGGCGCCTATGGCATTGTGGAGAAGATGCGCCATCGCCAGACGGACACAGTGCTGGCGGTAAAGCGTATACCGATGACCGTCAATATACGGGAGCAGCATCGTCTTGTCATGGACCTGGATATATCGATGCGCTCCAGCGACTGTCCCTACACGGTGCACTTCTATGGGGCGATGTATCGCGAGGGCGATGTCTGGATCTGCATGGAGGTGATGAGCACCAGTCTGGACAAATTCTATCCGAAGGTCTTCAAGCATGACCTGCGCATGGAGGAGAGTGTGCTGGGCAAGGTAAGTGGGGGGGGAGCGGTGCGGTGGGTTCTCTTCTCTGAATTGGTTGCTGAATTGGTTGCTCTCACCGCCCTCTGGATCTCCTCTACAGATTGCCATGAGCGTGGTCAGTGCCCTTCATTATCTGCACGCTCAACTGAAGGTCATCCATAGAGATGTGAAGCCATCGAACATACTGATCAATCGCGCCGGCCAGGTGAAGATCTGTGACTTTGGCATCTCAGGTAAGCATTCGCATTCCCCTCTCTGGCATTACATGTCACTCAATTTAATTGCAATTCCCCCATACCTCGTAACCTAATCAGGTTATCTGGTGGACTCCATTGCCAAGACGATTGATGCCGGCTGCAAGCCGTACATGGCACCCGAGCGCATCGATCCACAAGGTAATCCTGCACAGTACGACATACGCTCCGATGTGTGGTCGCTGGGCATAAGCATGATTGAAATGGCCACCGGCCGCTATCCGTACGACAATTGGCGGACACCATTCGAGCAATTGCGACAGGTAATAATTCTTGCCCCAAAAAGTGTCTCCCTTCAAATATCTCTGTAATCTGTAATCTGTTGTGCCTTTTTTTTCAGGTGGTTGAGGATGATCCACCCAGGCTGCCGGCGGGCACATTCTCGCCCGAATTCGAAGACTTTATTGCCACCAGCCTGCAGAAGGAGTATATGGCGCGGCCCAACTATGAGCAGCTGCTGAAGCACAGCTTCATTGTGGAGCATCTGCAGCGCAATACGGACATATCCGAGTTTGTGGCCAGAATACTGGATTTGCCCGACGAACAGCAGCAGCAACAGCAGCAGAAGCCGCCGCAGTAGAGGCACCCGCAGCAGTGGAGTGTCTCTTCCCGTGTAAATTGCCGCCGTCTTCTTTCTAGCATGCATTTCGTACATGTGTGTGTGTGTGTGTGTGTATGTGTGTGTGTGTTGTGTCTCTGGAACTACAAAACAAAAACAAAAAACAAAAGAAAAAAAAAAGCAGAAAAGGGAAAAGCAAATAGCAAAAACCAGCCCATATGGAAAACATTATATAATTCTAGTTTTAAGTGGAAAGCAAACCAAGCAGAAAGCAAACAAGCCGAGCAGAAGAGCCGAAGCAAAGAGAAGCCGAAGCCGAAGCTGAAGCCTCTTCCTTCAACGACAACCAACTACTTTAGGGGCTGCCAGCCGCCCCCAGCACTCCAAATGCCTCTTGCACTACGCTCAAAGCCAAACCGTGCCTCCCGTCAGCTGTCCAGCTATCAGTCGCTGTTAGTTAGTTAGTTGCTGCTGCTAAAACTATATCTTATATATGTAAACACACAATATTAATCAATTTGTACTACGAAGTTATCCAAAAGAAAGTTAAAGAGAGAGAGTGAGAGTGAGCCAGGGGAAAACTTTCAGGTAGTGAAGTGGGAACTGGAACTGAAACTGAAACAACGGGGAGAAGTGCAAGTGCGGAGAGTAAGCGCCGTCGCGCAGACGTAATAATGGTAATTGTCTAACAAATAAACCATACGCGGATTATAGCTAATTAATGTTTAAACATCTCCTGTAATTAATTGTTGATTTTTTTAAATATGTTTAACGATAACGATCTAAATGTACAAGAGAATGAGAGAGAGAGAGAGAGAGGAGCGCGCAGAGCGGCGAGAATTCAATTAATACGAAATGTACGATGTACGATATATGGATGTGTGTATGCCATGCCCCCCCCCCCGCCCGAAACAACAAATCAATCAATCAAGCAATAGATTAACATTTACCTTAACAACAAATGCGCAGGCTCTAAAAAAAAAATCAATTGTATTATTGGCTCTTAAATGGATCCTCCTTTGGAGGGAACTTACAAATAAAAGTGTGCTTGAAAGCCAGCATCGGCATGCCGATGCCGATGTCTCTATATACCCCCCCTTTTCAATTTTGCAATTAGATCTGTGCAGAGATTGTGTTTCCTTATGTATTTAATCGGAATGGTTTTTGCCAAAAAGCAAAGAGAAATAACGAACCTTGCTCTTCCTATGCATAGTCTTCCGATATCTTTTGTGCCTATGATGGAAACATTTCCCTTGGAAGCGATTTCTGCTATGGCAGCTAAGACACCGATTTTCATGTCTTCCCCTGAGAACATATGTATGTATGTATGGAGGCACCTCTATTAGTTTTCTTGTTTTTGCTGGCAGGGCCTTCCCCCATGTAATCTGTTTCGTTATAAGAGTCGGTCCTCATCAAGTTGCATCTTAATTAATCTTAGTTTAATCTCCTCTCCGATATATTTAAGAGATTTTTAATGTATTCGTGTATAAATTCTGATACAAAATGAAATATAACTGCATATGTTTTTGGGTGTGGAATGGCCCTTCCTTCCTCCACATGAGCGCTACAAGTACATACTCTCTCTTTTCTACTCGCGCTCTTGCCATGCCTTCCCCTCCCCTTCCCCATGTTTACTTCCGTTGAATAGCTGCAACTGCAATCGATCTCATGCTGACAGCTGCTATCGATATACACCTAGGGATGCACTTTTCTTGATTGCATTTGTATTGTGTTAATCGCATTACATCAGCTGAGTGCCAAAAACGGGCAGCAAACATTCCGATTTACTGCTATCCGCTTTGGGGGTCATAAAACTTTGCTAATCTCGGTGCCGATAAGATAGCGACCGGCAGCAGTACCACAACCCAACTGGCAGCCAATATGAGTGCACGGAATTTGCTGCTGCTCTCCTCGTCGCGATTGCACGGCCATGGTTATCTGGAGCATGCACGCGCCCAGCTGGAGGATCTCTTTAAGGCGTAAAAACAATGGCACAGACCACACAAGACAGTGTTTGGGCAGCCTGCAAAAATAACTCTCGCTTTTTCTTTTTAGTTGCCATGTGAAGACGGTGCTCTTTGTGCCGTATGCACTGAGGGATCACGACAAGTATACGGCGCTGGTGCGGGATGCAATTGCACCCTGGGGCTATGCTGTCGAGGGGCTGCACACCAAGGAAAATCGCGGACAGGCGCTGCGCGATGCCCAGGCCATTTTTGTGGGCGGCGGCAATACCTTTGTACTGCTGCGCACCCTCTACGAGCTGAAGCTGCTGGAGCCCCTGCGGGAGCAGGTGCTGCAACGCGGCCTGCCCTATGTGGGCAGCAGTGCGGGCACCAATGTGGCCACTCGCTCCATTCACACCACCAATGACATGCCCGTGGCCCATCCGCCCAGCTTCGAGGCCCTGGCCCTGGTGCCGTTCAACATCAATCCGCACTACCTCGAAACGGACCCAAATAGCGATCACAAGGGCGAGACGCGAGACGAGCGTATCGAGGAGTTTGTGGCCTACCACTCTCGGCCAGTGCTGGGCCTCAGGGAGGGCACCAGTGTGCGTGTCGAGGGCAACAAGGCCACCCTGCTGGGGCAGCGAAGTGCCAAGCTTTTCCAATCGTAAGTGGCATGCTCAAAGCACCTGTTACGTTACCCTCACCCTTAACCACTCTCCTTCTCATTCATGGCAGCGATGGGGGATCCAGGGAGCTGCCACCCCAAGCCGATCTCAGCTTCCTGCTGAGCCAGGACTAAAGAAACAACAACAGATTATTGTACATACATACATATACATTGTATTATTCTGCAAAAATAACAACAATTCCTACATACAACTAGCATCATAATCTACATACATATGTGTACGACTAATAACTAACTATACAAGATGGTCAAGATGGTGGTTCCCGTAGTCAACGTTTTGTAATAAATTAAATGTATCTCTCATACAAACATACAAAAAAAAAACACATACATAAGAATTAGACTGGCGGCAGACTTCTTATTCGATGATCAAAGCGATGGAGTAGGAGGAGGCGAATGCGTCCCATTCCCATAAGCGAATAGACACATTGTGTTTCCGTTAACTTAATGTATAATATTTTTGTGTTGCTTACGCTCTACTTTGGCATACAGAGAGAGAGAGGCGCGACAAAGAGAGCTAAAGGCAAGCCGGGTGGCACACATTTAATTTTCTTTCATGTTTCAGTTACACTTAAACCACTATTATACAGACACGTATAACACTTATAATTTCTAGCTAGTAGTCAATGGATTCTCCTACAGGAATTCTTCACGTTAATATACATATAAATATATGCTAATTATTTACATGCGAAAATCAAATGTTGTTTTTTTTGTTTCTTTCTTTTTTTTTGTTTGTTGAATGGCTCTCTCTTTTGGAACATGTGTGGCATTTGTTTTGGCAGCACTCGAAACGTGTGCATATACAACCCATTCATATCGCATAACAAATTGTGGGCTGTGTTGTGTTGTCTGCCATTTTGAGCATTGCAAAGTTTCACTTTAAAAGCAAGCAAACAACAGGAATTGCCTAAGATTTAAAACACTAGTGTGGCTTGAGATAGGTCTGCGCTACAGGGCTTATACACGAGTACGGTTAGGGAGGGGGCGGTCGGGAAGGATATTTGCTTGCCAGTTCAGCCTTGGAGGGAGGCATAAAATGCGAGTATAAGAGTTTGTATAAGTCCTGTATCTAGATCTATTGGACATTCATTCATTCATTCATACACCCATGCACTCAATCATTCATTCATTCATGGAAATATATTAAAAAGGAACTGATGATATAACAGGCAGGAGCTGGCACTGGCACTGGCGTTGGACCATGCTATTTGTGGAGAATACTTTTGTCCTCGTAGCGTATGATGGCATCGCCGATTTGCTTGCGCGACGCCAAATGGATGCACTGCTCCCGCCCGCAACTCTCGGGCAGGTGCTCTGGCAGTGTGCCGCCGCGACCCAAATGATTGCGGACATCCTGGCCGAAGCGCAGATTGGGCTCGACGCCGCGCAATATGTGCACCGAGTGCTGCGCGGCCACGAACATGTCCAGAATGCTCTCGACGCCCTCGGGCCGGGACTGCGACGCCGGCTCCAGCAGCTGATCGATGTCCAGGTCGCTGCGTATGATGGGTAGCCCTTGTGAATGCAGCAGTTTGCGCGCTAAAACGAAGAGAGAGAGAGAAAGAGGAGTATCAGTATTACACGTCCACTTGTGGGGCCCCTTTCCGAACACCGAACACTCACCCTGCACATAGTCGCGACTGTAGAAGGCGATCACATCGTGGTTGTGACGATCGAAGTAGCCGCTGCTCTGGGCCACGTCGCACGCCTCGCACTCCTTGCAGAACTGCGCCCAGCGGCAGGGATACATCTGGAAGCCGATGGGCGCGTACACCTGGAAGCCCTGAATGGTGTTCATGCGCACCCGATTGAGGAAGTCCGCCTTGAAGGACATGCCCGGCGTGGCCAGCAGCACCAGGGACTCGAGGCCGAGCTTGGGCAGTGCCAAATCCGCCACCACAAGGCTGAGCAGCTGCCTCGGCCCGTACATGGAGGCGTGCAGCAACCAGTCCGCGGGACTGACGGGCACACTCAGCTGCTCGGGCAGCCGTATGGACACCCAGGCAATGCGGGAGCCATCTGTTTTGTACTTGGAGGAGAGGTCCAGGGCCAGCGTTTTGAGGCCCTTGAAGGGATCCTCGTCCCCCTTGCTGGGCGAGTCCAGCCGATAAAGGAAGATCTGTGAGAGCAGAGGCGATAAGCATTGAGTTGGCAGCCTCGCTCGGATGGAGCATCAGGGGACTCACCAGGAGCAGGAATGTGTTGTCCTGGTTTTGCATGCAGAGGCGCTCGTACTGTGCCACAAATTCCAGGGCGTCCGGCACCTGGTGCTCGAATGCCGGCACCAGGATGGCGATCCGTGTGCTCTCCGTCACATAGGGCGAGGGCACCACCTCGACGCGGCCCAGCGGCTTGACCACCTCGAAACTCTTGAGCAACAGTCGCCGCCGCCGGCCGGATCCTTCCCGCAGATTGAGGTGCAGCTGGTAGTCCATGCCCCGCGTCGCATCGAACTTGCGATAGGCGGTGTGCAGGCTGTGGTAACTCAGGCCGGGATGCTTCAGGGCCGCATACTGCTGGGCGATCTCCAGCACCTTGGCAAAGTCGAGCGCCTCGATCCGGGTGAGCGGGGCCACGGCATGCTCCACGTTGCCGTTGGGCAGGTAGCTGTGCGTCTCGTTCAGCATCTGCCAGATGAGGATGTCGTGGCGCGTCTCTGGCGCACTGGGTGGCGGCACGCCCAGGGGCCAGCGGATTTCGAGTATCTTGTTGGAGATGCTGCCGTTGGCAATGCGATAGGACTTCTGCTCCAGGGCATAGCCCCGCTCCTGCACCGTCTCCAGATGTTGCTATCGAGACAAAAAACAAGATTTCGATTTGTAGGAAGATCCCAGTGTAAGGGGGGGCGGGGTACCGACGACTCACCTTGGAGTAGTAGGCGTGCAGGCGGTAAAAGTCCTCTGGCGTCTGCACGGGATACACAGGTGCTGGCATTGCGGAACGCTTGCTCCTTGGCCAGATCACCAAAGTCTCGTCGCTGGCGACCAGGTGTGTTCAGGGCGTAGCTATACTGCCGCATGCCCTGGAAGAAGAGCAAGCGGTGGAGATGGGAGTGCATCAAGGTTAGTGAGAGGAAGTCCAAGTCAAAAGCGTCACACACAGCCAGAGAGAGAGAGAGAGAAAGAAATAGAGAGAGCCAAACCCGAATGAAGTGGAATGGAAGGAAAGACAATCGCGCGACTTCCTTCTCGTTGTGCCTTTACGATCCATGAAAAAAGCTTGAAGACTCTGCTCGCAGCATAATTAAATTAACATTGTCATACTAATGGGAACGGCAGCGGTGGCATTCGCGTTGGGCAGAATATCTGTCATTGGATCGGGAAAGAGATCTGCCTCGGGCGTTCTTTGCGCCACCCGCTCCAAGGTGTATTTCTAGGGGGGTGAAGCATTCCACGAAGGGTGAACTCACTTTCGGTTTTATTGTGCGTCCGTCGCATGCCAAAAGAAAGTAAGGGTGAGTGACAATGCCCCCACCCCACCTTATAAAGAGACACCTTGCACAGGCTCCTTCCACTCTTGCTCACAGAGCCACACACATTTAAAACGGTTAAGTTGACAGCGCGCCTACGCATTCAACTTGGAGAGAGAGGAGGATTGAGCAAACAAAGACATGTGTGCGAGGGTCAGCAGAGGAGAGTGACAACAATCGGAGTTGGAAGAGAGTCACAACCGTTGCTTGCAGAGTTAGGAGAGAGAGTGACCAAGAGAAGAGAGTGACAAACAAACGATGAGAGGATGGGCCGAAGAGCAAGCAGTGCAGAGCGGGACAAATCCATTGCAGGGAACCGTTTGAAGCTGCCGTTAAAATAAACATCTTAGGCAAGTTAATTAAGCGAAAGAAGGGTGCAAATATCAACAAACATCAATGAATTTTCATGGAAATGCTGCTTTCACACACACACCATCCACACACATGCAAAAGTTATACATAAATCATGCCATGCTGCCGTTACCAGGGAGCTTTGATACCCTTTCGGCGAGTATGATTCCTTCCAACAGATGTTTTGCAATGGGTAGAAGAAATTATATACAAACTTTATGCTGCAGGCAGTATTCGAGAGAGACTTTTTCATACATATTTACATACATATGTACATATATGTACATAATTTATATGCAAGGGTATTAAATGCTTCAGCCATTTCCCCTCCTGCTACTGTGATGCTGCCCTGCCCGTGCCCTGCCACATAAATAACCCAAACAAAATTTAAACAAACCAATCCGTACAGAAACCCCAAAGAACAACTCGACAACACGATCTTGGGGCGCCGTGTTTATGCTAAAAAAGCAATTGCGTGTTCGCAGCAAATAGCAAAGTAATCAGAAATCAGCAATCGGGCATGATAATGACTAATGCACACAAAAACCGAAAAATAAACTACTGCCCCAACAAATCCTGACTGGGTGGTGCGAACACATTTATTCGCACACCCTCCACACATTATTTATCGCGACTTGAATCGTGGCATTTGAATAGTTTTCGGAGAAAAAGACTAGTCAGGATGCAAAATACTTGCCCTGAAAATAATTATTTTTTTTGCAAACATTTCTCTACAAATCTTAGAAGAAGAGATATCTAGATATTTATCTTAGATCCACCGTTAACAGTTGCTCTCAAACTGTTCAGCCTGCATTTCAATTGTACGCTTCTCACTCTCTCTCACTCTCCATCCATCCGTCCGACCGTCCGTCTCCTGTCCATCCGTCTGATGACAGTCTTGCTCGCATTTCATTTACCCACTTACGAATATTGGACTGCTTGGAAATTCTTTTGTTGCTGCTTGGAAATTAAATAAACTGTTGTCCATCAACTGGGCCCCGCCCCCCTCCCTTTGGGGGCACAGATCGTGTTGGTCTCGCCTTTTGGGGAACTGATCGTTGCTGCTGCTGCTGCTGTCTTCCAACGCCGCATAAGCATCAGGCAGAAACAGCAACAGGCAGCAGCTACAGCAGCAAGAACATGGCTGGCTCTGCTTTATGCTGCTTCTTTTATTGATACCCTTTGCAGCTAAGAGAGTGCTATTATTTTGGGAGCTGTTTTGTAAAGCACATCCCTGTTTAAATCGACATCGTATTTTTTTCTTAAAAATTAAATAAAAACTCTGCTCGATTTAAATGGAATAGCCATGTCACAAGTTGCGTGGTTTCGGCCAAAGGGTATCAAACTCATTGGCATTGGAATTCTTTTACTTTGCTGCTTCTTCTTAATTTCATCTTCTCTTTACGCATCTCACACACGAATGGGGATCGGTTGTTCTCTCTCTGTGTGTGCTTTGCTCTTTTTTATACATATTCTTTGCCTTTTCAGGGTCACACTGTTCTGCATGTGTGTGCGTGTGTGTGTGTGTTATATCAATGAACTGATTTTTTTTTTTTCGAGCACAAATCTAGATCCAAAACTTCTGTCTGCCTGTCTGTTCCCGTGTGGTATCTGTGCGTGCGTATGTGTGTGTTTGTGTCTTTTTAGTCAACGGCAAATTGTTTAAATAAATAGAATAGAAACAGCATGTAGGAAGCGGCGTGTAAAGAACAAGACACGACACACACGAAATTAACAAGAAACAGAATGCGAGCCCTCTCTCTCTCTCACGCTCTCAGTGGGTAGTGGGTTGTCGGGCCTGTTATGTGATCAAACTGTGAGACAAAGCAAACAGCTGTTCGTTC